GCCAGAGTTGGCCTTCATGTATTGCCTTTCGCGCTACATGTATGGCGGAATGACATCGTAAGCAACAATCCCGCTTCTGTCAAAGTAGGAGTATACGGGCACTCCTCTGCTGTTATCGGTCTGCTATTGCTTCGTGGGCTCGCGACCCTCAGGCAGAGGTGGATACTCTTTCGCCTGGGCGAGCATGCGGAACAGCAATCGGCGACCCAGATTGATCATTCCCGCATCAGGAATCGTGTTGGCGAGAATCCTCTGTGCTTGGTCGATGATCATCCGACTACACAGAACGGACACGCCTCCAATTTACGAAACTTTGAGAGCAATGGTCTGTCGGACCACTTTGTGTATGGATTATGGGTGTGGGTGTGTGGGTGCAGGTGTCGGGTGCAACGGGTGCGGGTGCAGGGTGCAATCGGTGCGGGTGCAGGGCGCACGGGGTGCGGGTATAGGGTGCAAGGGGCGCGCGCGTAACACCAAGTACATCTAGGCACTGTTCAGTGGGACACCTGGCAAATCTAGGTGCCGTTGCGAAGCACATAACTGATCTGGTTGAGTGGGACACCAAGCAAATCGGGCACAAAGCAGATCGTTGCGCATTCCCTCTCAACAAGGTCCAGATTGGCTTCACGTCCCAATCAAAAGTGTTCCAGTTAAGCTCACTGTCCGATCTGGGCCTCGACCAATACGTTTGCGGGGTGGAGGCCCAACAACTCGCCATATCCCCACATCTAGATCCAGCCTGCACGTCCGACACTCACCCCTTGTACGCCATGCACCACGCAACCACGCTCTCTGCACTACATCTGCATCCAATAGTCGCTCTCAATGCGCAATGCACCACCTATACTACATGCAACTCCGGCACTCTTTGCACCCTGAACCCGCACCCCTTGCACCCTGCACCTGCATGTGTTGTACCTCGCTCCGCACCCGTCGCACCCTCCACTCAATAGATTCGCGCGGCATCCCATTGAATAAGGCCTGGAGTTTGCTTACAACAGAGCCCCAACTTGCTGTGTCCCACTCAACAAGACCAGATCTGCCTCGTGTCCCACTCAACCGTGCCTAGACAACCTGGGTTTGCTCAGTGTTCCAGTCGACACGTTGTCCCACTCAACAAGGCCTGGACTGCTTAGTGTCCACTCAACACGGCATGGAAAATCTACTAGGCTCTGTTGAATGGGATGCGAGGCGGGCCAGGAAGCAAACCTGCTTTGCTTAGCGCTTAGCGTCCCATTCAGCAACTTGCTTGTGTTGCTTTTAGAAAAAAGCACAACCTGTCGTCCCATCCCTTATACAGTCAAGAACCTACAACCAGTCTCACCCTCCTGCCCACTGCACCCAGACGGGTGCGGCTATGCCGTGCAGTGGTCGGATGCAGCGGTTGGGCAGCAGCGCAATTACTAGGTGCAGGGGTCAGAGCTGGAGCACTGCAGGGCTCTTGCGCATCTGGGCGCGGGGGGGTGCGGGGCTGTGGAGGCGGAAGGGGGGACTGACGACGGTGTGGCATGAGTGCAGAGTCGCAGTAGGTTGAGTGGGGGTGGGCCTGACGGGAGGAGAGCCTGGCAGGAATGGCTGGCAGAATCAGGTGCTTCGAATGCTCCGTGGCTGTATGAGCCATGCAGCGATTGATACAGAGGCCGTGCAATTTTGGATGCATACTGGGTGCACAGAGCACAGTGTTGGATGCAGGTGGGGGGGGGGGCACTCCGCGGGCACGCGATACTATAGAGAGCATGGGAGGGGGGCCAACCCTGCCCTGCCGGACCATCAGTTGGAAAACAGGTTGTACGTTCTCCACAGGATGGGAACAAAGGCTGAGAGGACATGCTCTACATTTCAGAAGCAACCTCAGCAAGTCTAAGCACTGTTGAGTGAGACACTTGGCACATGGCTTTTGCTTAGGGTGTGCCACTCAACAGGGCCTACAAATTTGCTTGGTGTCCCACGCTGCTCCGAGGGCCTGGATTTTCGTATACTTTACCACTTACAAGCTCCTAAATTTGCGAACCCACTCAACAGATTTGTTTGATGTCCACCTCAGCAAGCATTTTGTAGCATGCCCCTCAACGGGGCCTACCCGTTGCACCCTAGTCGTACTGCACCGTGGTACACCCGCACATGCTGCACCCCACCCGCCGCACTTGACAGGCACCCGCTGCGCCCTACAATGGCCCTACACTCGCAATCGTGTACCCGGATTGCACCCGTTGCACTTGCACCTGTTGCCATCCCTGCACCGCAGTCGTTGCACCCTACACCCGCGCTTGTTGCACCCCTGCACCGCAGTCCTTGCACCCTACACCCGCACCCGTTGCACCCTACACCCGCACCTATATTGCACCCTAACCCACACCTCATACATGTACCTGCACGTGTCGGCTCAACAGAAATCATAGGCTTCATTGCTCTTCAAGTTTGATAACCTCCAATCGATCGGTTACACTGCTCAGATGCAGCATATGCTCGGAAGGCATCGTGAATTGCCTGACAGTTATCGTAGGATTCCGGCCGGAGAAAGGAATCATAATCACCATGAGTCGGCTTTTCGTGAATCGCCTTCTTGAGGTACTCGCGCTGACTAAAGGCAAGCGTGGCGAATCGGCGCCTGGAGAATTTGCGCTGCTCCTCTGTCGGCGGGAAACAGGATGCAGTAGCGACTCGACCATGAAGGGAGTCGTCAGCGTCCATCTCGAGCCCCGGCACAACAAAGTCCGGCAGCGCCACCGGGACGGAGTTCATCTCATATTCCACGATGGGCGCGACCGATCCTGGAACTCTTCCGGGCATGAGGTCAGGACGATGAATCGTTGTCGTCTTAATACCCGCGCCCTCAATCCTGCACTGCTTAAGATCGTGAGCAGCCCGATCGGCGGCAGTGCTCGCAGCTTCAATGTCGATCGTGGGCCCTCTCACTCCAGAGAGTAATGCCCCCTGCGCTGGCATATTGGCAGGCGGGCTGGATCGTATCCCTTGTGCGTGGGCACTATCATCGGGCTCCACGACATCCCGTGCGACTGGCGTCACTAGTGAAGCATCGACAATGTTGAAGGAACACGAGGAGAACCGATCGGAGTCGCCATTCTCTCGGTGGCGCGGCCAATCACAAGTTCCGAACTTGGTCTAAGCCAGGACGACGGCAGTGATCGGACGCTGACTGGATCAGGCGTTCCGAGTGCCAAAGCGGCAGCAGCAAAGCAGCAATCCACAATCGGATGCAGAGGTCCTACGGCTGATAACCTGTGAAAAGCAGACCAATCGTAGATCGTAGCATTGCAAAGCAAGCAAGCGGGACGATCGGAGATTAGAGCCGTTAGGTTAACCACACAGAGAAGAGGCAACACTTACACTACCCCAGCGCAGGCGGACCTTTTCCTGGACCTGACGTAAAGTCGGCCTTGAGCGGTTCAGCTGCGTAAGTCAAACAAAGTTGGCATGAATCCTAACCAGGATGCAGAAGCACATGTTCGCATGTACTTGATAAATCACAGTTTGGTAAGAAATCAGATACCAGAATCACAGATCGCAAGGGGTGTCCCCCTACAGGTTTTTGTAGCAAATAAGTTCCAAAATCACAAATCGCAAGGGGTGTCCCTGTAAGGTTTTGTGAGAACTCAGGCCCAAAAAACACAGATCTCAAAGGGTGTACCCTTAAGGTTTTGTGAAAACTCAGATCCCAAAACCACAGATCGCAAGGGGCGTCCCACTAAAGGATTTTATGACCAATAAGTTCTAAAATCACAAATCGCAAGGGGTGTCCCACTAAAGGTTTTTATGACAAATAAGTTCTAAAATCACAAATCGCAAGGGGTGTCCCTCTAAGGTGTTGTAAGAAATCAGATCCCAACATCACAGATCGAAAGGGGTTGTCCCCCTAAGTTTTTATGAAAACTGAGATCCCAAAACCACAGATCGCAAGGGGTGTCCCGTAAACGTTTTTATGAGAAATAAGGGGGAGGGTGGGGTGGGGTGGGGGATGGTGTGGGGAGCGGAGGTGACGGAGAGTGACACGGACGGAGGTGGGGGACAGTGGCAGAGGCCAAAGGCAGGCGGCATGGACGAGGCCAGACAGAGGCCGAGATTTAAATTTTTAAAGTCTTTAAAACTTTTTATGGGCCGACTTAGTGTTTTGAAGATATCAGAAATTTACTTGGCGGGGCTGGGGACTGAATTCTTCAAAATCTTAAAAAATACATTGGCCGAACTTTTTTGTCAAGATTTTTAAACATGTACATGCTCCCGGCTGACCCTAACCCGGGGCAGGGGCTAGGGGTCGGAGGCCCAGATCTAAATTTTTTAAAATCTTTAAAATCTTCTAAAACTTGGCCGAATACTTTTTAAAAGATTTTTAACAATTTAATTTTCCGGGCCGGGGACCAAATTTTAAAGAATTAAATGGCCGAGGACTGGAGGCTGGGCTGGAGTCGGCATGCTATACAGAAAGCCTATCGCCAAATAGTACATCAAGGTCTTTCTTACATAGGATTATAGCAGAGCTTTCCGGGGTGGGCACTTTCTGATGGCAGTGTACACCAGGAGTTCCAGCTGATGCTCGACATCGGCAGAGCTCCTGGGCCAGTTAACCGGCTCAGCACGAGGCATTGACTGCTTCTGAATCTTGCACCTCAGTACGGCAACGAAGAGGCCGTCCCGGCCCTCGCCGGCTTCGACCTGGCAGCTCGCGTAAGGTGGGAGACGACTTGGAGTCATGCAACACCGGAGCTTCCAGCAGTAGACCGCCCTCGCTCTCAGATTTTTGTACCCGTCTTGGTACCCTGCTGAAGTATTCATGGCATGGTCCGCCAAAAGCAAGGAATTCGTGTAGGTCCAAGGCCTCCATCATTTCATCTCCGGCATCGTCCAAGCGGAAAAGCCGAGTAAGGCCACTCCACGCAATCTGCGCAAGCGACGAAGCATGTAATGGAAGGCACACATGCAGTGTGCACGTTCAGCGACTGGAGGCACAACGACTCTCGGCTTCGACATCCGTTTTCCGACAATCATTGCTCGATGGTCTGTGGTGCCGCATTGCTCCACCCAGAGAGAATATGATTTCCAGCACCTTACCAGCTGTCTGGAGTTCCTAGCAAGTCTAGCACTTCCATGTGTGTCAATGTAGCGTCTCACTGGCCATTGCCGCCAAATCGCTGACTTCCTCCGACGCGGCTCCACCCAGGAACTCTTTGTACAGCATGAGCTGGTCGGCTGCATAGGCTGGGTTGCTGAGGTTCTCCACAACCAAGCCGCTTGGCTTCAGTAGCTTCAATACATTTTGTAGGTCCTGCAATGCGTGCAAGTTACACTGCTGACAATTGACCATACCCGTCCTGTCTGGTAAGCTTAATATTGTGTCCAACATCCGTAACCTCGGAGATCGTAGCAATTGCCGCAAATGATTTCATCGGGTCTGGACGGTCGCACATGGGCTCATGCTCAGGCATTTACGGTAAGAGTAAGCTTCCCACAACTGCATCGAAAGATTGGGGCCGCTTGCGTGAAAGGTCAGCGAGAGCGTGGTGCAAGTCTTGCACCAGAGCCTCACCTAATTTGTAAGGTGTGGCGCCGCATTCTTGATGCTGGGGTTTTCAGTGCCAGCCGGAGAATCCGACCTCTGTATGCGAAGAAGTCCCGCGCTGCTCGGACTACGTCCGAGTTGTTGTCCACTGCCAATACCTTGAAAGTCAGCCCGCATCGCATTACATGCTTTTGAGGCATTTCTTTTCCTTGCAATCAAAACTCATGCGTACCGGGGCAGGATTCTTCCAGGTAAGTTGGGATTGCACCACCTGTCAGCAAGCTTCATACATCGTACTACGTACATCCGTGCAACCGGGAAAATCCTGCCTCCAAGGCCCAGCACCAGCACATCTTGTTGGTGCCCGCAGTTGTGGATCAGCGGGTGAAGGATGTGCTGGGCGTATGGCAGCAGATCTGCAAACCCTCGCAGAAAAGGCCAGGGTTTTGTGCTCCCAGCTGTTTGTCTTGTTCCCACCTCTGCTGAAGTCTGGCGCTTTGCAGTGCAGGGCAGCCCTCCCAAGTCCAAGCGTAGTGCGAGAAAAGACAACTCACATGACCCCTTGACCTGCCTGACTGTCGCGTCATCACAGCGGCCGTGAGCTTGAGCAGCCGGGCCGGCACAGCGCAGCGCGGATTGCACAAAGCGGGGCCTGCACCACGTTCTTCGGCCAACCAGCACGGGTGCGCAGGTGCACCGTCCCAGGCCTGGTGGTGTCCACCATTTGTCTCACATTGTCCGCAGAGACAGTGACCTGGTAGATGGTAGAATTGTCAGGAATTCACACGACAAGAAATGCCCGCAATGCGCTACGGGCAATAAGCTCAGCTCAGGACTGCAACTGTCTCATCTTGCCGATAGCCACGGCATCCAGACGATACAAGGAGCTCGCGAGCTCCGGGCATCTCGATCTACATTGGCTTAAAGCATCTTGACAACGCTGTCAACATAAGATAAAACAACGGTAGGCAAATGGGTGGTTGTGAAAATTAGGGTCCCTTTTTGGGTACCTAAAATACTAGGTGCCGTATTATATTAGGGACGCAAACGGGACCATAATTTTGACAACCACCCAAATCTGAACATGGTACTCGATAGCAGTGCGAATCCGTAATGGCTTACTCACTTCATCCTTTTTCTCACACGTTTCAACTGACGATTGCGCTGGGAAGCCTCGGCCCTCTGACTGGAGACGCTTTGCAATGAGCTACATCGGACACAAGACAGCTCAAGTGACTTGCATCTGCTTCTGCGACATGGAGCAAAGTGGGATCAAGATGGCGAGGTTAACGCACGCGACTTGTCGGAAAGCCGATAGCATCCGATAGCTGTCAAACACGCGACAGCTCAATCTGCAGAATGACTCGCCGGCCGGCTGTCACGGGCCTTGGTGGTGAATATTGCCCATCCCAGTCAGATGATGGTGAACTAGGCCGAGAAAGGGGGCGTCAGTGCGAACGCAAAGTATGTGACTTGCAAAAGCTCGCAACATATTCATGCCAAAATCGGATGTTGCGTCCAAGCGACGTTATCCAGTGAACGAGCTTCTCGCCACCTCAGCGAGATGCTGAGAGCTTGCTGCAGCTTGCAAGCATCCGGTGACCTTGAGAGCGGCACGGAAAAGCACCTGCGATGTAAAAACGGAAAATCAGGATGCACACGCAAACCGTTGTACTGATGCTTGCGGTTCGAGGCACGACGTCCCCTTTTTGGAGTGTAACCTCCAAACGAGAAGTTGTCAGAAGCTCATTTTCAACATCCGAATGATCCAACCCTTCAAAAACGTTCACACCGGTACCTCGCGGTGGCCCCGACTTCCTGCAGCCCTCCGAAAGCAGCTTCGGCCGCCGACGTAGGCATCCGGTGCCGACAGCATGGCTACCATTGTCACCTGTACCGGAGGTTCAACGTTTTCTCAGAGGCCCAAAAGCTATTGCTCCCAGGAGAGGCAGGTGGTGGCTAGAATGCTAAAACTTAGCTGGGATGCAGCTGACTTGTTGTCAACGTGGGGTTCGATGAAGCAGGGCTCTCCCATCTCATCCACGTCGTACTCGATGTATTCCACCTCCGGATAGACTTTCCTCAGTGCCGAACTAGATTAAATCCACCGAGGCCACAGGCCCAGGCTTCTTAGGGGTTGCCTCAAGTGCCCTCCACCTGATCCTCGTCCCTGCAGTCCCCCACCCTCCCCCCCTCTCCCCGCCTTCTTCCTCTCCCCCCCCTTTTTCCTGCTCCTGCCTCATCCGCCATGCTGGAACCTAAACCCTGCGTTACAGCTGTTCGTTCCTACTTGCCGCATGCTGACATGTCTCGCTGAAAAAACAGCTCTACGGTGCCCTCGCCCCTGTTGAATCGTGAGAGTCCTGCTCAAAGAAATCTCAATATGGCCGTGACTTGAACAGATTTCCTAGTATGTGATACAGAAGGCTTTGCCGTTTCATGCGGCCCCTGCACCTGAGGAGGCGAGGCGGGCGGCGTAGCGTTAACAAGATTAACCCAAGCTATCTCGGCAAGCAAGCCGTTTCCTACTTGTCGGACTTGACTTGCCTAAAGGCCTGAACTGGCCTTCAGGACCTAGTTAGACAGTCAGAGTGGCTTTGACTTTGCCAGCCGCTGCCACTGTGCATCGTCCGCGCTACGCATCAGGGCCATCAGCCGGGCCTCAGAGATACGACGGTTCGTATTACACTTCGGCGTGCGCCGCTTGGCAAAGTCGAAGCACATAAAGGTCAGGGTAGAGGGAGCGGAGCTGGAGCTCGAAACGCCAAACCCTGCCAGGCTGAAGTTGTGATTTCAAACTTTCTGACGCCTATTGCACGTTGCCCGGAGTCTTCCTTTCCCGCCTGTGCTTAAACGCCAAATAGCCCTTACGGTCATTGATCTCCTTCACCGAGCTGTGCTTGGCAGCGGCGGCAATGGCCTCCCAAGTCGGCCACGTGCTGACATGCTGGGCGTCACCAGGGTCCTTTCCGCTCTCCTCAATCTCGTCTTGGCGCAAAAATGCCGGTGCCAGTGCAAAGCCTCGGTACCTGAGTCTTCGTCGGTCAACTTGTCTGACACCTCTAGACTCTAGAGCCAAGAAGCACTGGAGCACCGTTCGCCAACTGAGGCATTCGCTTTTTTGGGGCGTCGAACCAATACCTCAAGATCTTTCATTCTGCACAGTTGGCATGGTATCAACACGCATGACCGCACATAACCTTAGAAGGGCTGATCCGATGGAGTCCCAAACAGCGGATTGAATGACAAATAACATGATTTAAAGCAACACCCAGATCAATAGTGAAGTCCACCAAGGCACACACCAAGAGAAGGTAAATGAGTAAATGACATACACCAAAGCAAGTCCAGTAGAGGTTCGACCCATGGAAAGTACAGGTTAAGCAGAGCAGCACAAACAGACACCAAAGGTGAAGGCGAATATGAAGATGCCACACAGCTACGTTTCATCTACCTTTTGTGTACCCTGTGCTACTTCTAGCAATTCAACTGTCTGTGACCTCTATTTACCTCTTACTCAATCTGACATCTATAGCTTGAGTCCAACTCACGAGCCTTCCAGGCATAACAGTTGTAAGTGCCACGAGCTCGTTTCGATTTGGATTGATGACGCACCCAGCTCAATCGGAAAGATGGGATCAAATCAAACGATTGAGCTGTTTGGTCAGTGCGACGCCAGGATAGTGTGAAATCAGGAACCGACCAGAGAAAAGCAAAAGCAAGTTGCGTCCCATTTCGACTTCCCCGCAGGTGGCCTTTCTCTTACACTGGCGGCACCCTCGGAGCCAAGGAGAAGTCACAAGAACACAACTCCGACGGAAGCCGCAAAGGGGACAGAAATGCACATGGGCGGGGAGCTAGACTTGAGTCTTTGGGTGCTGATTCCCCTTTCTTGCATTTCGGTTCCGTCTCCGGGTGCGGAAGTACTTCCAACCGAAAGTGGCGTCAGTGTCTGTCGTGAAGACCTGCCGGTCCTAGCTTTGATCACTTCCACCCGCATACGGTCACCACTTTGAGGTGCATGTTGTGGGATGTTGTGGAATTCTGGTTTCCTTCCGTGAGGACTTGGGCCACATCGAGTCACCAGGTATACCAACCTCATTATCTTGGAGGCCTCGTGCGGGGTGTCTCAGCAGCCCGTGAGCTTGGGGTAATGGCTGCCGAGACATGCAAAGACCCAGCAAGGCATGGCTATGTTGGCACGACATCGCCTCTCAATGCTCACTGAATTAAACTGATCGGCAAAGCCCGCGACCACCACTGTGCACAGACGCAAGCGTCCCTCAGGCACTAGCTTGCCTGCTCCAAGAGATGATAAATGCGAGGAGCGCGAAAGAACTCGATTCCGATTTCGCTTGCACCGACGATCCGTAGTACAGCTGCGTCTTCGTCGCCAACATCTTGCATCCAATCAATGACTAGAAACAATCAGTAATTAGAACTTCGCACCTGCCTTTTGACTCTGCGTTGAGAAGCTTTCCATTGGCGCTTGCCGGTATAGCATCGAGATGCCCTGGGAATACACATCCAGGTCGTCGGCATTTGCCCTAAAGCTGCAGCTGTTCCGCAGCGTTCCCTTTCGGCAGCCAGGGAGGGCGGGCGGGGCTGCTTGAAATCTCGAGCGGAGTCACATTACGGCACTCAGTTCTGAAAGCCAGAACTTCGCACCTGCCTTTTGACTCTGCGTTGAGAAGCTTTCCATTGGCGCTTGCCGGTATAGCATCGAGATGCCCTGGGAATACACATCCAGGTCGTCGGCATTTGTCCTAAAGCTGCAGCTGTTCCCAACCTTCCCGTTTGTAGAGCCAATGACTGGCCGCTAGCCGGCAGAGAAAAGACCATACCAGGAGGAAGTCGGCACACCTATACGTGTCCACTCAACAGCTTGCCTCAAAGTGTCTGGGAAAGCCTGGGCCAATAGGAGCACGCGTCGTCTCGTTTCCAGCGGCAGAGAGGGGTAAAAGGTGCATGCCATGACCTCCTGGATGTAGATCTCCATCACACGGTGTGAGGCCCAACGCCCACGGCGGCGTACGAACTCACTGTTCTCAGTGACTGACATGAGTGGCCCCCCCTGGGCGAAAAGAACCCAGGTCGAGAGGCCTATGCCGAGTCCTGGCTGTGCTCACGCCAAGCCTCTCCAGAACTAAGTCCCTCCGTCGCAGGGTCTGGGAGCAGTGCGGCCAGACCTTGTGGTGAGGCTCGTGGCCGAGAAAAGCTATCGTGATGAGCTCAACGAGGTCAGCTTGTTCGATCCCTGCCGCCTGGTGCCTCGCCATGCGAAGCCTCGTTTTTGGCTCCTCGATCCTGACCAGGATGTGCCTCTGTGAAAAAAGCACGTCCTGAGGCAGGATCAGGTTCCGCCGCACCAAGGAAGTGGCCTCACCTATTCGCAGCAAACCGCCCCAGGCGAGCGAAAAAATGCCAGCTTCAGACAGCCAGCCCCAGCAAAGGCAAACCGTGAGCATGCTCAAAAGGATCACCGCAGGCTTGGCAACGTGGTGTGTGGAAGGTTCCAGCGCCATCCACGAATAAGCCAGGTCCCAGGCAGCCTGAAAAGCACGCTTCAGAGCGGGCCTCTTGGCTGCCAAGGCGTTGATCGTTTCAGAGTAGTGCCAGTATGGCCGCCCACTTTCGATTAGCTGGCGGCCATAACTGACAACCCATGCGTTGAGCACCTCAGTGTCAGCCTGCTTCGCGTCGAGGAGGTCGTCAAGCTTTATACTCGCACCTGCGAGCCACTGGCTGAAAAGGCTGACGAGGTATGCCCGGTTGCGCGTCGTGCTCTCAAGAACTGGTCTGCCTTCGCCGAGGTGAGCACCATCCCGGGCTGCGGCCCGGACGCGGTCACGCGCATCCCTCGGCACCAGAAAAGGCCCTGGAGTAGGGGGCGACACAGGCCCTTCACCAGGGAAACCAAGAGTTTTATCGAAGCTCAGGTGGGGCCCAAGGCTTCCTGAAGTCCTGCCTTTGGGGGGGAGTTCTGCAAGACCTCCCGGAAGCAGGAGGCGATGACCGGGGCAGTCGCCTGCTAGCCTTCAGTTGCAAACCTTGCAAGGCTGGGGGCCCGGGAGGCGAAGGAGGGGCTGACCAAAGCTGCCTGACCTCTGCCCTCGGAGAAAGCGTCACAGCCTCCGAGGTAACACTCACGGTGGCCCCGCCGCAGGAGGAGGCCCCTCCAGCCATTGAGGTCACGGGCCCTGGAGAGCGAGGGGTGTAGCAGGAGCGCTGGGGTTTCGCACCTCGCAGCAACCAGCATAATGCAAGCCTGAACTGCACGAGTGCCCTCGGAGACCTTCCTAGGTTCAGTCCTCGGCCGGGCCGGAGAGAAAGACCCCACAGGAGGGACTAGGAGCAAAGAGCGCAGCCGGCAGGCCTGCAGGAGGCAGAGCACCCACTCGAGACAGCGAATGTCACTGACGCGGAAGAAAGGAGAGGCCCTAGCGTCCGTTGGGCAATTCCGGTTCAAGACATATCTTAAAGACGCCCCCCCCATTTGGCGATTCCGGTTAGTCATACATCTTAAGAATATGCCCTCGTTTGGCGATGCTACTTCATCATCTATCTTAAAGACGGTCCCTGCTTGGACTTTGCAAGGGCGCCAAGTGAGAAGTCACAAGTGAACCGAAAAAGAAGTCACAAGTGAGCAAAGTAGAGGTCACAAGTGACCCGTCTACCAGTACCGCGAGTGCCTGGCAAAATCCCATCACTTCCAGGTGAATTGAAGATAGGCGAGTGCATTTCTCACCGTTATGATGCAGACCAACTTTGCAAAGATGAGTAAACTGTAGTTACCGAAGTCTCACGAGGGTCTCCAAGTCTGGGCTCGCGGCAACTCTCCCCGCCGATTCCGTTCTGGCTCGAATCGTTCTGCCAGTCTCTGCCGGTCACAACGGTCCGACAGCAGCGGCGGGCCTGCAAGGGCTCAGAGCGGATCAACTAAACAAGTTTTGTACCTGAAGCCTCTTCGCGTTTGCCTTTGATCTCCCGATACCATGAAATATAAGTACTCCCGATGAAACTCAAGTTTCAGGACATCCCTGTTCCGTGCTGCGGCAGTCCAGGCCGAGCACTTCAGTGTTATCCGGCCAACAACGCGGGTATGTCTACACTTTACACTTCCCAGGTCTCCAACAGATCTCACGAGGTTTCACCATGTCCCATTCGTATCCCTGTCGCTGTCACGAACGCTCACGAAAGAATTGATTCCAGCCAGCGAGCCTAAGTGCCCCATGGAAGATTGGCTGCAAGGCTTCGGTGGAGCACCTTCTGGTGCTTTGACTGCTGTCTACTGAGGTCCAGGCTGTCAGAGGGCGGTGAGAAATTTGAGGCTTTTCCTTTGATGAGATTCCACTGCTGCTGCACCTTGAAGCAAATGAGACATACAGTGCCCGAGTATGTAAAAGTGTTCAATGCAGAAGCGCGACATGGCATGCATGTGCTCAGGAGGCCTGCTGTCGCTGCCGCTTGAAGCTTCCGATCTGACCGCCATCCTGAGAGAACGCTGAAACCAAGGGATGTCGCTCGCTGGCTAGGCGGCTAGGCTCGGCGGGTCTGCGGCCTTGCCGGACTTTGCTTAGCGAGGCACCGTGCTGCTGGAGGTGTCGCTGCTGGTGCTGCTGCTTGCACGACCTCAGACCAACGGAGATGGCAGAACTTTGACCGCAGGCAAAGGCCCCCGGCTCGAAGAACTGTCACTGTCGCTTTCGGGACGGGGCCTGTTGTCTACGCTTGATCATGAAAAAACCATGGCTTTCAACTTGCTGAATAAGCCGAGGGACAGCAAGTACTTGAGGCGCCAAGCTCTTTTCTTGCGCTTTTTGCGATTTTGCTTTTCCTTAGATCAGGACACAGCTTAAACCCACATTTAGTATCGACAAGACTAAGCTGATTCTATCGTGACGCAGAGAAAGCGGAAAGGACAACGCATGCCTCTCCCCCGTTAGTTTCCACACCATCTACGCAGGGCTGCAAAGCAGATGGCTGCATGGAAGACTTCATGAATCAATGAATGCATGTGCTGGCACAACGCAAGATTTGAACTTTTATTGCTGGCCTTGCCAATGCCACCGGTAGTGCATACCTTAAAATTTGTCTGCTATGTAGTCTGAAAAGGAGCATGTAGCCGAACCCATGCACTTCTTGGCAGGATCCTGAAATCACCAATGCTGGCAGCGCTGTGACACGCCGGTTGGGCCGACGCTGTCATTAGCGTGTTCGGTTTGCTGTGGAAGAAAGAAGAATGGATCTTGCTCCACGCTTCTGAAGGCAATGCTCGGAAATCTCCCTCGCGAAAAACACTCAGGGCAGCCACAGGACAATCCTCAGGTTTAGCGTTCTTGCACAAGGTTGTCATAGGCTCTTGCCCGCTTCTTTGCAAGCTGTCGGACGAGTTTTCCATGACGACGTCCGATTCCTGCAACCACACCGGTGCGGAAGAGATGCGCTTGAATACTTCGGAAAAGCTCCTCCTATGCATCTCGGCCTCAAACCTTGCCACACCTCGACCTCCACATAGCTTGATGCTTCCCCCAGGCACTCGTGAGCGAACCATGCCACAGCCCAGATTGTACATGTCAATGCGAGTTACGGCACTACGAATTCAAGTCGCACATCGACAGACTTGCTGCAAGAACATGGATACCTGGCTAGCATGGCATGGCGCTGGAGAACCATTGTCTGGGTGCTATCCCTTTCAGATAACCGCAACATTTCACAGTTTAATTTACCCCGCCAGGAAAGCATGTCAAAACTTGGCGGCCTTGATGTCTGATGCGTGAGGACCGGACTCTGGAAGCTTTGCGTGTGCAACCTTGCAGCTGGACATGCGCACTAAGAGCATGAACAAGGCCTAGCCTGAGCTTTGCTAATCCAGGATGGAAAAACATGGAAAAACTGGGGGCTCTGCAGCTGCCTGCGCAATGATCTGCATGCCGGACATGACCGAAGGATCAGAGTCAGACGTTGCAACCGTTGCAGCCACAGGTGCTTTCTGCACTTTCTCATTGTCTGTAGGCGGGAACACTTTACCATTCCACGTCTCTGGGCGCAGGTGCGGAATGTGAATCACCGGGCAGTGATTGCGGGTGGAATGGCCGCAGCTGTCACTTCTGCATCCATATCGATTTCTGGGTGCGAACCAACAAATCAGCTTTCCTTTCGTATCCGGTCGAGCAGTCTGAAGACAAAGTTCAGCCTTTTGTTCAAAACTGTCTGCCTCCGGGATGTCGTTACGTTCCAGTCGCAGCCACAGTGGCAAAGGCCAGTTTTTGCTACCCGGTCGCGCAGAGGGGTAACTCTTGGTCTCCGCTACCGCTTTGATCAGTTCCAGGGCTCCGGCTGTTTTGATCTGGTTGTGAGAAAGGTGAAGCTCGAAAAGCGCCCAAGGTGCAGATCGGATCCACTGCGATAGAAGTATTGCACTGCGGCAGCCAAGTCTGTTCTGATAGAACTTGGCAACTCCGATAACAACCCTGGCTTGCTTCAAAGTCAGGAGCAAGATCCTCATCGCTTCATCGTCCAAGTGATTCTGAGAAAGATCTACATCATGAGCCAAGACGATGTCGTCACTGGAGACGTAGAGCCTGCGAACTTTCGCCTGCTTCAATCGCTGTAGCTCTGTTGGAAACCATGCGCAAAACTTTTGTACTGCGCGGACATCAAGTCCCATTCTTGCCAAGCGAATACTCAGAAGCCCGTCATCTGAAACTTGGACATAGCTTCCCCAGCCAGACTGCGCAGTCTCAGACCTGCCCAACTCGTAGTTTGACTGAGCTGTCTGCCACTGGCTTTGCCAGTCATGCCATTCCTGGTCAGTCCACCTTTCGTGCCAACCGTGCTTCCATTCCTCTTTTCCTTCCGGTCCTGAATGTTTTCCGCTCCATTCCGTCTGCTTCTGCCAGTCCGGCCAGTCCTGGTCCTGGCGGTCCTGGCGGTCCTGGCTCCATCCATTTCCATCTTCTGAGCGGCGCTTCTCACGAGGTCGAGGCACTCGAGCTGCCTGCGTGCCATCCTCTCGGAGATCCTCTCGAAGCCATGGAACTTGAGGCGCCCAGCTTTCACTGGCCTTGGGGCTGAGCGGCCTGTGCGTGATCTCCTGATAGAGTCGTGAAGTCGAAGTTGAGATATTTGAGTGACTTTGATTCGATTTCGAGACTTCCGATTGAGAGAAAGCCTCGTTTGCGATTGCGAGTGGTGGCTCCGAAACGGCGAGTGGCTCCGAGGAGCGAGAGCCACTCGAAAAGCCGCTTCCGCTTCCGATCGGACTCTCTGCGAATTCAGGGCCGCCAGGGCCGAGGCTTCCGATTTTGTTCTTTTTGGACTTCTGCTTCAGCCTCTCACCACAGTCGAGTTCTTGAGGAGGAGACATGGCGGGCCCAGCTTTTGCATGGGCATCGCAAATGACCAACACTTGTCAAACTCCATAGGCGCTAGCAAGTCTTGGATGCTGGTTCGAAGCTTGATGCAAAATGCTGAGAGGGCGTGAGGATGTGACCGTGGGGCTGTCCTGAAGATCACATGGTAACAAAGCCGCATGGTGCTAGGAGTGTTGTGCTTGTAAAAAATTCAGCTGCGGTTTGTCAGGCGAATGCGATCGGCACACGGCTCACAGCGGCTCACAGCGGCTCACAGCGTTCAAAGAGTCCCCTTGCCATCCTTGCACCAAGGCACCTCCAGCAGTCCTCGGCTTCCCTCCTTCTGAGCCGCCTGCAGGGCCTGCTCAGCTTCTGAGTCTGTTGTCCATTCGGACGAAATAGACTCGCCACCAACCCTGAGTGTCTTTTGCTTGCGGCAACTCGTCTACACCGGAAAGGGGAAGGGTACTGTTACGTCGTATGCAAGCGAGGATCTCTAGGTCTGTTCCTCGGATGAGGAAGACCCTTCTCTCGCGACGCTCCACGAAGTCACCTTGCGCCGCCATGGCTCGGAAGCACCAGCAGTGGCATGGCTTTGGCGTATGCATACACTCCTGCTTTGCGAGTGTTCAGAGTTCAACTCAAGGCGGCAGGTTGTGGGCTGGTGAGACTACGGCAGGCTTTGCTGCGTTGCTTGGCTTCGACTCTCGGCCTACTTTTTGGGATGCTCAAGTTTCCCGGCTGGCTCGACAAGGCAGCATCGCACCACGGTCACGTGCAGATGTAGACGAGTGCCAAATCATCACTTCGCGATTGTGACAAGCTGAAGGGGTCCACTTGCTTTGTGCTCAGATCTGGGAAGGCACCTTGGAATCCCCCATGTTGGCCGGAGATGGGCCTGGAAGCTACTGCAACACTGAAGATCACAGGAACACCAAGCAGCACCACGGTGGCACCTGGCACGGTGGGGGCAGCTGCTGGCACCTTCACCTTTGAGGCTGCAGATGACTGAGAACTTTCAGAAGTGCTCTGCTCTCTGTGAGCCCCTGCGTGAGCCTCGAAGCCCTCTGATTTGGCTGCCTGCTCCGCCACGTCTTCGTCGAAAAGGCCTCTTGAAAACGAGTGCGGTCTGGGAGCGGTTGGCGGAGGCATGCCCCGCTCTCCGACAGGGCTTGGAATCTGCTGCGCACTATGCCTGCCAACTTGGACTTCCGCCCAGGCAGCGGGATGTCCTGCGGTGCATCTTATAACAGCACATAACTGGCAGCGTTGAGTACACTCGGGATGTTGGCCTAGCAGGCTAACACTATGATCAATGACTTTGCCAGGCCCTGAGTCGGGTCGCTCGCAGAGGGCATCGCTTGCCCAGAAATATCAGGGGACTTCTGGGAGGGCACAGAAGCTTCGCATGGACTTCGCACGCCACACTAAGCCTGAAAGATCACACATGCTACGACCCTGCTCACTACAAGAAAGCTCTTGTGCGCCTCCGGGTCAACTGGCCTTCGCCGATCTGCCAACCTCGAGGGGCTGCGACTGCTAGCGCACCTTTTACCATGAAATTTACGAAGTTTACGTGGCGTGAGAGTTGGAAGGCCCGACAAAGTGTAGTGCGAGCTGAGACGGTCGTGGGCATCTCAAGAGACAGACACACACACACACACTTGCAAACTCTCTTGCGAGAGTAGCTAGACAGGGGTTACCATCACTTGGAACATTTTAAACAATTCATGACTGCTGCAGGTACGTTTACACGAGCACCGAGTATCACCGAGTGAGGGTCTTCGTTGGCCCGGACCTCACTCGGGCTCTCCGGGCCCCCTGCTTGTACCCTTTGTTATCAGGGTGTCACACACACAGCTACTCCCCAGTTTTGGGGAGTAGTGGAAACATGAAGGTCATCAGATGGTTCGCAGGTCAATGCCGCAGCCCCATCTGATGCCTGCTTGGTTTGGGCTCACCATGACGTTTCGCAGGTCAAAGCCGCAGCCACGACATGGTGCCCTTGAAAAAAGCGTCATCGGGGGTACGGGTCCTGCCCCATTGAGGCTTGGGTCCTGGCCTCTCGTACTGTCGTCAGGGGTAAGGGTCCTGCCCCTTGTTTTGTCGTTATGGCTAGGTTGCTGGCCTTCTTGTGTCGTCAGGGGTACGGGTCCTGCCCCATTGAGGCTTGGGTCCTGGCCCCACGTGTTGTCGTCAGGGGTACGGGTCCTGCCCCTTTTTTTGGTTAAGGCTTGGCCTTATGCCGATACAGAAGTATCGAATCATTCAAGTAATACATGTTTTTATGCTCGGCCCTTGCTTTGCATTAGGGAAGCGGAAAAAGAAAAAGGAAAAGGAAAACACAAAGGCTTTGCAGGAAGGCGGGCGATTGGCTGTGTAGCCTTAAAGCGAAACAGCAACGTAAGCGAAAAGTAAAGGAGCTGCAGCTGGAGGCAGCCTTTTTGGCTTGGAAAAGCCTCTGGCTTCGAGCATTGAAAAAAAAAACTGTGACTGCGAAACGACACATGCGGAAAAAGAAAAGGTAAGGGGTGGCCCACATTGGGCACTTCAAACCCCGTTAGAGGACTGCGCTCGCAGTTCGCAGGTCTTACAGAAAGCCGCAGCCCTGCAGCGCATGTCCTATTAATACGGTCAAACATCCACAGTTCGCAGGTCTTACCGAAATGCCGCAGCCCTGCGGTGCTTGCCGACCGACAGCTGAAATTCTTTGCGCTGGTCGAAGATATACTCACAAAAGTGCCGCATCTTTGCACTTTTTTTGAAAAAATGCATCGTCTGGGGTAAGGGTCCTGTCCCATTGAGGCTTGGGTCCTGGCCTCTTGCAATGCGTCGATCAAGGAATCATTCAAGAAATCATTCAAGAAGACATTCAAGAAGTCATTCAAGAAGTCATTCAAGAAGTCAATCAAGTGGAAAAGAATCAAGAAGTCATTCAATTTATCAGCAGCGTTTGAGGATTTGTCGAATCAAGAAGCTGCGAATTCAGAAGCGGCGTTCAATGTCTTGAACAGTTGTATCAAGAAGTCAAGCAGTTGCTACGCCCGGCCCTTTGACAGAATGCCGGTCGAGAACACACTTGCAAACTCTCTTGCGAGAGTAGCTAGACAGGGGTTACCATCACTTAGAACAATTAAACAATTCATGACTGCTGCAGGTACGTTGACACGAGCACCGAGTGAGGGTCTTCGTTGGCCCGGACCTCACTCGGGCTCTCAGGGCCCCCTGCTTGCACCCTTTGTTATCAGGGTGTCACACACACACACAGACACAGACACACACAGACACACAGACAGACAGACACAGCCAGCAGCTGGGGCCGTGCGCGTGGGCGGCCAATCACCGCCTGGGCGACTCGGCAGAAAGGCGAGGTCAGAGGAGCCTCACATGAAGTTCAGAATGCACTGAACAAGTGTGGTTGGTGAGTTACTCAGCATGCCTTCTTCGGCTGGTGCTGCAGGAGGCAACGAAGGAGTCGACACGCTGCTGAAATTCTCAGAGCTGTCCTGGTAAGGAGTACGAACGTGGCAACGCCAACGATCGCTACTCAAATTGACTTCTGGAGTTATCTAAAACCGAATACTGCTGCGCTTTCAAGTCCTTGTCCTTCTTCTTGCCAAAGAGCGTGCGCATCTTGCTCTTTTCACTGCAGCACAATAAGCTGCGGCAACTTCAGAATTTCAGCTGCGGCGATGACAACATCTGAGCTGCTCAGAGATGCTTGGGGGCAAAGGGGGTGGACGGCCGCAGTAACGCCTGTGGGCCATTTTCCTCCTCCTCCTCCTCCTCCAGAATTTCAGCTATCGGACTACAGCTGTAAGGGTTCAAGGTTCAGGGAATCTGCGGGTCCTCGGGGTTCTGCCGGATACGGGCTCCCTCCTGGCCTGGCAACTGAGCATCACAAAATATACTTGCACCTTTTCGCCTCTGCTTCCGTGGAAGCTAGTCGGACGTCGGCAACCAGCTGCTGACACACAGGGCTGGAAAATCGCAGGAGCCAGGAGCCTATACGTAGAGGGAAAAACATAGTGAACTTCGCTATGCGATGGTTGGCACATGTTGACACAAGTTGGCACCCTGGCTCCCGAGAAGCTGAATACATCATGCAGCACGCCTTGTCAGCTTCTGCTTTTACAGAGCCCACAGCTCATTTGGCACACTGCGGCACGACGCTTCTGCGGCTCACGGTGAGAATCTACATTGTAATCAAGGATTTTCTTCATGAATCTTCACAAGCTATGCATTTCCAACTATTCTGAATCAGCTGGGGGGCTTCTGTCCTGGTCACAAGGGAGCCTCTAAGACTCGCCAAGCCGTGCCACACGCGAGAGGATGACACTCCCAGGTAGAAGACCGTTTTTTGCCAGCGATGTCTTTGGAGTTCCCGTGCTCACCGGTGCCTTTCAAGGATGCCCTGAGCTGGCGTTTTTAGGCTGGGTGAAACAGCCGCAAGCGGCTCCGGAGTCGAAATCTCTGGTATGCGCTTCCTTCCAAGAGCAACTTGCTGTGAAAATTTCACGGATGCATGGACTACCGGACCTTGCGGAGGAAGCAACATACCCAACCATTTGCAGATATGTTCAAAATTGAAAAAACTGTCTTCCCGCGGTATTGGCTGCAAACCCAGTACGCACCACAGTACTAAAGTAGCAGACCAGTCATTGGATGGCAGGATGTGACTTCCAGAATCATACACTCAAGCTGGCAAGTCGCATGGATCCAATGAACAAGCTTCTTCAGATAGATTCGGACTGCATGATTCTGTGACCACCTGCGAAAGTATTTCCACGTGGGCGCCAACGTGCAGGGTGGAGTGCACTCCGCAGATTTTTGCAGGTGCATCGCCTAAACCCCGCAGCGGCTGCACCTATGGTACAAAATCCGATGCTTGACCGGAGGAGTCTAACTCTGGCGGCTCTGATTTTCGCCGCACGATGCACCTGCCGTTGTCATTTCAAAAGTCGGCCCTTTCACACCCAACTCGGAACTCGTGCAACAGCTCGCTTGGGACCTCCACTGCAAACGCTTGTGCCACCGTCGGGCAACACCGCAGTGTTGAGCTTCACCTCGCGATTTCGCCGAAGCACGCAAACGCCAATGCGCACACCTGTGCTGCAAACATCCGGCCAATCGGCTCTCACCAGTGTTGTGATCCGACATTGCATGCACATGACATGCTTTGCTGCACTCATGGGCTCCTGGGTTGCAATGTGCGGGATCAGAGCCTACGCAGAGCTGCACTGATCTGAATTCAGGATAGTTCAGGATGTTCGCACCCATGTTGATGCCGTTCAGGCATTGCCTTGCTACATCTGGTTTGTCTCTCACTTGCACCCTGTTCAACTGTTGGCTCGCGTTGCTGCTGCCGGAGGTGCCCACTCTGTTATGCTTGCCAATATCCTTCTCGCATCTGCTCTGAGTGGCTACTCGCTATGCACTGACAACTGACAACCCAATTTGAGATTTCAGGATGCAACATCCCTGGTTGTAGTGTTCTGCTTCATCACTTTGCTCTTGGTCATCTGGAAACTCAAAAACGAAAAGACCGCAGTCTGGCGGTTACGCAGCAGGGTCCTGTTTTGGATTTGCATCATGAAATCGTCGGTTTGGCAAGACCTCGCATCATCGTCAACGACTGGTTCCAAGCGAAACTGCTTAATACAAGGAGCCACTGGGGTGCCGAAAACCCGAAACTCTAATAGCTTATGAGGGTTAGCAAGCCTTTCCTTCCTCCCTTCCTTCCTAAGAAGGGATATACCAAATCTAGAGAGGAGCATGGCAACCTCTGCTGGGGTGGCGGAGCCAAATTGCACTTTGCCTGCTACGATTTGGTGGGAGCTTGTAATTCGAGTCCGCGCGCTGTGGGATCTGGTTCACTGGAGCCGTTTGGCAAGACTGTTTCGCACCCTGTCGCGTACCTGCACTTTCTATCAGCAGCGCATGCTGAGCGTGGTGCGCTTCCCATTTCCTCAAGACTTGAGAGTCCGGGTGCCTGACAAGATCTCGAGACTTGAAACCCAAACGAGGGCTGACAGAGTGCTCCGGCTCGCTCAAAGAGGCACCTCAATCTTGGGCAGCCGCATGTCAGGTCCTCAGGTATGATAAAGCCCTGTACAGGACGGCTAAAGTGGGAAAATTGCCGCTCACGAGGCCCTGGCGGATGCCCGCACCACTCGCAGAGTTGATCCCGCCCAAGCTGGGAAGACTATTGACTGGAAGGGCTTTGCCAAAGCCGCCCCCCAATCCGCTTGGAAGGCCGGGCTGAGATTGCATGGGCGTGGACGGCGTGGACCCGAGGTTTTGGCCGAGTCCACTGCCCAGTCCTGGGCCAGGCCGGAACCCTGACCCCAGGGCCCCTCCGGCTCCGGCCCCTATGCCAGCGTTGGCAAGCCCAACTCCAGGCAGTGGAGCTGCGCTTGGCATGCCTGGCGACTTTTGTAGTCACGTGGTCGTCTCTTAGTCTTCTCTGAAGTTTGGAACTAGCCGAAAATGAGGACAGCCTCCCATGGGCATGCTCGCGCTGGCACCAATGGATCCAGGGCCTTAGCGAGCCGTAAAGCAGCCGTCGCCTTCACATGCTTGTATCATCTGCTCTACGAAATGCTGAATGTCTGCTCGTAGGATGGCAGGCGGCTTTCGTTTGTCACATTGACATCCCAGTCTGCGTCTGTTGCGTACAACTTCCTGGCTGAGAGTCCTCTCGCCCCATACGACGACTGCGCCTACGTGGCGGGTCGGGTTCTTGCATTCAAGCGCCGCCAAGGCTCGCAGATCTTCCAGCCGAGCGCTGCCAAGGATCCCAGCCCCAGCTCCAGGAGCGCCCAAGGGAGCGCCTGCGAAGCTCCGCTCCAAAAAGGCTTCTTCTTAGGTCTTATAAAGGTCTTGACTAGTCGCCTGAGCTGGGGTTGGATTTGAGGATTTCCCTGACCTGCTCGACATATCGTTCCTGTTCAGTACAGGTCAACGCACGAGATGTGGCTGCGATGTGGTGAGTTGCTGTTTATGCTGAAACAGTCCTGCTCGGCGTGGAAAGTTTCCAGCTCTCCCAAGTACTCGCTGGCATCTTTCTCTTTCATAGGCCTGCGGAGCTGACAAGTTGATCTGCCTGCACATCTGTGTGCGCCCTTTCTCCTCTTATGCCCACTTGTCGAAGTTCCGGCCTGCTGCTGTCACCCGCTATCTCGTTGCCCTGTCGCTGGAGTTCGCGGAAGCGTGTGTCCAGCCTCTGGACTTGGGTCAGCCATGTTGGGTGTGCAGTGCTACACATTGTCGAAAGGCAGGACAGTCCAGGACAAACGAAAATACGGAACTTGACTGTCCGAGACTGCTGGTCGCAGCAGTAACGAGTTCGAGGCATACTCTGAAGCAGTTTCCTCTAATTTTTCAATCGCCCTGCATTTCAAGCATGCGATGCCTCTAACTTCTGCTTCAAATTGTCGACGGCATGAGGCTTGGCGATTTGCGGCTTTGGCCTTTAGATGTTCGATTTGATTTGTTTGTGTTTGCTGCATCTGCATCCTTGCAGCAGGCATTCTGGCAGACTTGGCGACATTGCACTACCCACCTCTGAGCAACCCCGGGCAAGACATTGTTGGACGGTAGTGGGCAGGTCGTGGGAAGCGTCTGCAAAGTCATACGCGCGGACTCCTGGACTCTTCGCAGCCCCCAGATCGAGCGTCGCAATGGAGAACTCATGCACAGGGCGTCAACGATGAAATGACAGTGGAAGCTGACAGGGTCACTAGACTCTAGACCAGGTCGGCGAGCGCCGCACCCTAGCCTTTTTGACAGAGGTAGGATTTGCATAGCCTTTGACAAGGCTTCTCCACTTTACACCTACATGTGCACAAAGGCAGCGGAAATCACGAAGCGCATCCAAGCACAAAGCTTCAACCACTTTTCACTTCCCAACCAACACGACGGGAACCACAGTGCAACCGACAACATTGACACTGTTATAGAAAAAGTCCGCCCTAGGATAGTTTGGCCTCCGTCTCCCGTGCCTTTCATGATCCTTCTCCCTGGCCATCTTCGGCACTGATAGTGCTAAATGTTGGCTCCAGCAGTCCTTTGGAGAGCGCACCCTAACAGGACACCGAAAAACTGCAGAGACAAACATCACAGAGGCGCTCCGCGCTAACGGCGCGCTGCTGGGCACTATCAACACGTCGACCGCGTAGATAATAATGTTGATATAGTATTCGTCTTTTGTAGTAGTATTAGTATATCACATCGGTATTGGCCATTAATATTAGTATTTGCAGAAAATTCGTATTATTGGTGTTAATATTAGTATTATCAATTATCAGTGTATCAGTATGTATGATTACAGACCTCCACCAATACTTCCTCACAGTTCCTTGCCCACAAGTCTCTACCAGATTATTGCCGGAATTAAACTCAAACAACCCGTCTCGGTTGTTCTGCACCGCCAAAAGCGCAAAATAAGACATGCTTTCGGGTTTATTGCCTTCCCTGCGTGGTGCTGGAATTAAACTCAAAGAACGAGGTTTTTGGTGGTTTCTCACCGCCAAAGTCACTACTAGTAGCAGATAGTGCTGGAACTAAACTCAAAGGACGATGTTGTCCGTGGCTTCGCACCGCCAAAAGCGCGGAGTTTGTGCCGTTCCGCAGTCGCACTAAGATACAGTCTCCGCACGCCAGCTGCTGTAGTACAGACAGGCTGAGCGCTCGACAAGGTGTTGATTGGAAGCATGTGTGCGGCGTCCCTACAGTTTCTCGAGTCGGTCACCGGCTTTTTCCAACAGCTTCCTGACGCTGGGATTTCTTGGAAAATCCGGAATGCTTCACCGATGGAATGTCGCCCGAACAGATTGTGCACTGCATACAAGTCATGTCCAGGACTGGCAGATACATTTAGTTGAGGCAAAGCTTTTCTCGATCCTCTTCTGTGTTCGAGCGAATCATCCTGAAATGTCTTTGTACAATGCACTTTCACTCAAGCTCGGAGCGCAGACTCAGACGCGGCTTCTTTGGCCTTCCGAATTGCCCGCACAGGCCCTGCACTGGTGCCCGTTCTTCTCACAGCCGGGCCTGACAGCGACTTCGGGAATTGATCGCGGGAGAATCTGCACTCGAAACAGTGCGTCAGCACGGCAGGGAAGCTTCCAAAAGTAGGGACCCGTAACATGGATCCCAAGTAGTGGATTCCTGCTTGATCATTCCGAGAAAAAGCTTAACCTTGAAACATAACCATTGCGTTACCCTTTGCATCCGCAACCCTGCATTCAGGGTTCAAGAGCTTGTCCTCCTGGCCCCGACAAGGCCCGCTCGGAACTTTTGAGCCTCTAACATGGCCATTCTTCGTGACGGATTGTACCATTGGCAAAAGGCACCCGAAATGGACCGGGTCTGGAGTTCGGAGATCCGGCGAATCTGAATAAAAGTTGAGAACAAGCATTTACCAGCGGTGCCCTCGTTCTTTTCCAGCCTGCGGGGACGAACTGGGAACAATGATCCTCGCAAGCGAACGTGGACTCGAACTCTGCTTGGCTTCAGCCACGAACGAACCGCTCGAAGTTTCGGCACATACACAGCCATTTATCTGCTTGGTACTCATCTAGAAAACATCTCCTTGTCCAGCCGTGCTTGTCCGGCGCATCACCTGCTGGGACAGAGATGCTCGGATTCAGGGCTCGGTCTGTCGTCTAACAAAACTGCTTCTATGCAACAGCTGGTCTTCTGCAGCTGACTCTTCCCTTCAAGCTTTCGCTCTGACGCCTACTTGAATAGCTTCCAGCTGCGTCTTCAGCTTGGCCATCACCTGTGCAGAAAAGCCGACAAAGGGGTGCAGCCCTACCTTTCCCCCGTTTCCTCCACTTCTGCGCTAGGTAACTGTCATATGACTCATATGACCTCATGCTTGTCGAAGTGGAAGGTCTTCTCCCGCATGGTTAGCGACCTTTACTCGATCCATCAAATGCAACACAGACAGTGTTTGATCCTGCGGTGCCCTGAAGTTGAAGTTCTGACCTTATCGGCAGAACGACTGCGGCAGTGCCCACAGCCGCCACCTCGCTGAAGGTGTTGACCTCCTTGACGTCCGTCGATTTCTACGAGTCTCGCCATGTCTCAGTGTCTGGCCTCGAGGAAGTCTATGCGCCGCTGCTCAACTTGCAGGCCCATGTCGCTGGCCAGCCTCACGGACGGGGTCTCAAGGCATCCGTTCAAGGATTCCCGAGGTGCTCGCTGCTGCAGACATTTGTTGGTGACCGAAGCCAGAATCGAGGGAGACCTCGGAGAGCTGTTGTAGCTCAGCACTGCTCCTGCCACTGCACCACTACCGCTAACGCGGCCACAGTCACTACCACATACTACCACTAGCACTACGACAACTACTACATACTACTACGTCGAAACAGCAACAACATCTCCCAACTGCGCACTCGGATGCTCACTCGGGCGTGACGTATTTGCCATCCTTCGTTATGGTGGCAAAGTTTGTGACCTCAGAAAGCTCAAGCCCCGTCTTCGATCCGAGAGTGACGCATGATTGCATCCCTCTAGCAACTGGAGCAAGTGCATTGAATTCCTCGATGTATCCTGGGCTTTTTTGCACACATGCAAAGCGGAATCATCGGAGCTTTGCAGTTGCTGCAAGTGCCTGAAGCTCAGCCGAGTGGCGCTGCTCGGTCGGATCCAGGTAAAGACCGACCATGAAGCCTTCAGCCTGCAGGCATCTGCAGGCTTGCACCATCTCAAATTTCCAGACAGCCGGTTAGGCCTTGTGCTCGGCTGAAGGCCACAGGTCAGCTCCGTAATTCCCAGAGCACTTGATGCTGCCCATTCCCCGCGCAGCAGACCGGTCGTATTCCAAAACCACCTGGAGCAGAGCAGCAGAGCAAGAAACTTCGGAAAAGATGGACCCAGGGCCGAGGCCTTGCCGGCCACACCCTGCCGAGGCTCTCCGGCTGCCTGCTCCGCTCTGCTCTCCTCTTGCTTGGGCGAAGGCTTTCTCGAGGATCTCAACGCCGGCGGACGCAAAGTAGTTCATCACCGGGCTGCAGATCACGAGAAATGCATACCTCCAGGCACCGGGAAGACTACAGTGACTACAGCAGCATCGGACATCAACGGATTCTTGACCTTTGCCGGGTGGCTCTTTGGCGGGAGCCAAGCCCAGCCTCTGACACCACTGGACCATGCCATGCAACCGCATGCGACGAGGCGCTGTGCCTCTGCCCTTCAACTAGGTCTCAAGGCAAGCCACGCCGGCCCTGTGCCCAAAAGAATGGGGCGCAAGTACAGGGCGCCGCCTGTGCCTCAGCTACGCTCGGAGATTTGGGGAACCACAAACTTTGGCAGATTTGTCGCAGTCACGGTCTCCAGCACATTGTGGATGCTCTGAGTGATGCACGATACGGAGGAAGGAACGGAACATTGTTGCGGACACAAAAATCCACAGCTTCCCGAAATTTTTCCAGCGACAGTTCTGGAATCAGCATCCTGAAGGACAGTCCGCTGAGTAAGGACATCATATGAGATGATGCACTCCGACAATGCGCATGTTTTGACGGATCCTACACCGATGATCACCGACCTGCCGCTTGCAGACGCTCTACATTGATTGTTTGATTTCTGCGTTGGATTGCGCCGGCAGAGAGATGCAGGGAGGCGCCATGCACAGAGAGATGTCCATGAAGTGGGGGAGCTCACTATAGAGAGGGGTCGGAGAGAAATAATGAGAGGATGATGGGGTCAGCTAGAACTCAGAAGATGAGACCTGAGGGCCATTCCGCTGGTCAAGTGAGATTGTATGCACGGTTGTCTCTTGTCCGCCATGGTTTAGGACTGAGACCGCGGGCGGCTTTAAGGAAGCCAGTGTAGTCTGCAGCAATCTTACAAGCATAAAGCTTGCGGCTTTCTTGGAGAGGGGTCTCACGTTCGCTCACACTCCCGAAAAGGCTGGAAGTAACTGGTGGTGGACCTTCGCGAGGAAATCTCCCACCGTGGCTGTTGTCAACGAAATCTTTCCGTTCTGAAGCAACGTCCCCTCCAGAAAGGGGTGAACATGAAGGCCTGCGACGGTCAACGTAGAAGGGTTGAGGGAACAAGAAGAATGGGAAGCATGAATGGGTGGGGGTGGAGGAAACCTGGGTGAGAGTGTCAAAACCATGGAAGACATCAGAAAAAGGTTCAGGTGCTCAATGTTTTCAGTTTTGCAACAGGCCTGCAGCAGTATGTGCTGCGGCATCAATTCTGTGGACCACTGCCGGTCACAATTACGAATAATTCAGGAAAACGTCGGTCATCCCGGTCCTCTTCGCACCGCGAGACAAGCGCTGATGATTCCTCAGCTGCCGGCCGACTGAGGCTCCGGCATGACTTGCGTGAGCTCTAGCTTCGAGCAAGAATCGCTATGTCGTTGAATACCCGCACGGATCCATCCTTGCAGTGGAAGGCCTTCATGCCCTCCCACACGGTCTGCAGGGTCAGGATCAGTCAGAGCAGCTGCCACAACAAGACCTACGTTGATTCTGCAAGTTGCTGTGATGTTACTGAGGCTTTGATTCCAGTGGTGAGCTTTTCTGTTGTCGTGCCTGGCCATAGTGCAAGGCGACGGAGTTGACATGCAGCTGCAAAACTGGCTCCTTCAAGATGCCGTGGGAATCTTTCCAAGCTTGCACCGGCTTGTGGAGCAAAACTACAACTCAGACTTTACAGTTTCAGCAGTCCAAGTCCTTGACCAGGCTTACTTCGCCCCACGAGCCATCTTTCCAAACACAGCCTTGCCACACAAGAGGCTATCGAGAAGGACCGGAAGACGAAGAGCCCAACAAACCCAATGAATTCACGTGCTGAGCAACAAGTACCAGCGCCCGGGGATTAATGCCCTTGTAAGCCTTTGGCTGATGGCACTTTGGCACTGTTTACCCAAGAAACACCTGCCCTTCTTCTACATTGCTCCGTAAATCTGTGAGTGCCTTCGTTTCCCCTGCTAGCAGCATGGATGTGGGCAAACAGCAGACCTCACATGTTGAGATGGCCGCTACTTCTGGTTAAAATGCGCAACGGCAGCTTCGAGCACGTCCGAACCCTAACAGCTTCTTGATGCTTCTTGCACCGCCAGCATGTTTGCTTTGCAGCACGTTGCTTACGTGGGCTACGTGTGGCGGATATCTTGGTCTAGTCTTGCAGCCAAGCCGCAGCTGTACCCGTTTGTGGGCTGCACGCCAAAGCCGAGGGATTGCCACTCCAAGTTTGCCGAGCCAACGGCCATGGTTTAGTGGAATTCCGATGAGCCCTGGGTGCCAAAAAACATGAGCTGAAGCTATCGAGTTGATGGCTTGAGACCGTTTGAAACCTTATGTCGCAGTCTCTTTGTCGACTTCGTTACTGTTGTCTGCTGCAGCGAAGTTGGAGCCAAAGCTGCGCCATCCAATCACAGCTACATACCTCTCAGCTACCGAGCTCATGAACCAACTGAGTTTGCTGCGATGCGCCCACGTTTGCAAGAGGGGCAATGGCCTGTGCTGCATGCGAGGGCCAAATCTCGAAATTTGAATGCGATGCATCCGTGCGAAAGCCATGTCCGTCAGTAGACTGTGTAAACCCGTCTCGACCCGCCTGTTGAGACACTCGGGACAGCTGTGGCACGATGCCTTGAAACTCCTCCGAGAAAGACGGACGAATGTAGCTAGCTGCGGAGTCTCTGCTGCAGTCGCTGGATATTGTGCTTCAGAATGTTGTGCCCGGCAGCAGGTTTATCTACGCTGGCCTGCATCAGCCGAATGACCTTGTCGATCACGGCAGACAATTTGGCATCCGTGGCGGGTGTCACCTGATGCATTCTTACGCCAACATTATTGTCCTGCACAGAGATGAACTGCAAGTGCCAATCGGCCTGGCCAGGAACAGAAGGCGGTGAAGCCTGCGCGCTTGCAGAGCCAATTGTTTCTCAGACTCAGACGCATGACAATAACTTGATGGCCTGCATCTGCGGCATGGATGCCTCCGGCGCGGCACTCTGCACCCCGCTGGGCAGTCGGGTTCCCAGCATGCCCTGATAGCCTTGGGGATGTTAAGAGATCACCAAATGCCAAATCATGCCCGCGAGACTCGAGACACTACCTAACTCCAGCGCCTCCAGAGCCACCCAGCTGCTGCACCTGCTGCTCGGCTTCATTCACGAGGTTGATTTGCCTGTCACATCACAACGCCGGAATACAAGCGGTGTGACATGCTGAAGCAAGGCCTGGCTACGAAGGACTCCAGCTGATCTGCATACGGTGCAGCATCTGCCTCTCACGATAAGGGCTGGGGGAAGACTCCCAGGTCTGCCATGCAGCCTCGCCTCCAGCATGGCTTGTCGACCATCTCCGGCAAGCTGGATACCTTTCCTCTGCAAGGTCAAGAACTCCTCGTGAAGTTGTTGAGCCTGGTTGGCCAAGGTGTTGAAGGCCTGACCGAAGCAGACGAAGACACCCAGCTGTCAAGCTGCATGGACTCACGGCACATCAGATATGTATAGATGGACTGTGCACACCCGGCCTGCGGCGGCAGGTTCGGCAGCTTGGGGTGCAACGCCTCAAACCGCTGCATGCCTGACTGGATCGCCTGCCAGGGCCGCCAAGAGAAGCGACAGTTATCTCGGCCTGGCAAACCTTTCCACTCCGTAGTGACATCACTTAGGACAGAACGAAAACAAAGTAAAAGAAACAACCAAAGGCCGCGAATGATTCCTTCTGCAAAGTTGGATCTCCACTGAGAAGGGCTTTGCTCTCAATCTGAAGCAATTCACAACAAGAGTAGAACAGTAAGAGTAAGGCACGGCGGCCCTCTGAAGAAGAAGCAAATATCTACGCCAACACTGTCAACATCAACGTGCGTTTGGCGACTTGCGATGTAAGAAGCAGAACACGTCGTGAAACATGACATCGTGTCTCTGTCCGGCAGCATTTCCCAACAATGTGTTAAGATGGGGTGGCACTTACTAATACTCCTGCTTTTTCTTTCCAGTGTCAGTTCCGGACCACCATGCAGGACCAATCGCTTTTGAACCTGCGGCTCTGCAAAAAAAGCGCAAGCCGGTGCAAGAACATCCGATCTGAGCCAATCCCCACTTGAGGAACGGTTCAATACAGGTACCGTCTTACACAAAAACCAAAGGAGGTAACCTTTTCGTTCTGCCGCTGCGAGGTACTTGACAGCACCTACGCGTGTGGAACTGGAACGGGCTCAAGTACCATCCAAACCCAACTTCAACAGCTTTCACTCAAACTCACCGAAAAGGTGGAAGAAGACTCGACTGATCCTGCGGTGGGCCTGCCCAAGTGTGGATATGTGTTGTTTTGCTTGCCGGTGCAATGCTGACATCCATCATGTCTCCTCCGCAAGTTCTCTTTGAATCACAGCAGTATCCTGGGCCACTGCGGGAACTTTCTGGTCGCTCCGCGCTGGATCTCAGCATGTCACTTCGGACAGAATTCGTTGTCGCAGAGTGAGTGTGTGTGTGTGTGTGTCTCTGTGCGCGCTTAAACAACTCCATCCATCCAAACAAAGATGTTGATCAGCACAAACTCCCACGACCAGTGTTTTGGGCCATATGGCCCGAACAGCACCAACTCTATGGTAAGTTGCCTCTTGATCGGCATTGCTTGTCGACGCATCCCAGACTGCTCGACACCAAAATCAGTAAAACTCGATTGTCAGATGCCGATGGGAAAGTCTGCGGCGCCCTTTCTGCGTCGTATGTGGGGATTGCGCCGTCGGCGTGCGCACCTCCTTGTCCAAATGGCATATGACGGGGCACTTTCTGTGCAAGTGGTCTTTCTCGGGGGCATTTTTGCAAAGTGTGGAACGAAGCGGCGAGGCCGCAAGTCATTGTTGCTCAACACACTCCGGAATCCGGCATGCAATGGGCATGCAAGTCGGATGCAATGCTCAAGGGCGTCTGCTAACGCCTGACGAGTGTTTGAGTCTGGCTCCTGCCTGCATGGCAGCTTGCAGCCGTCTCTCTGTCGACTCTGAAGCAGCGCCTGGTGGAACCGGGTTCAGAGCAGTCACATTTTTGGGACTCACCTCTTGACATGCCAAGTTAACCATTTTTGGACCGAAGTGGGCCACACAATGATCATGGGCAGCGCTGAAGGATTCAAACAAAACCCTGTCCGACAATACAATATGCACCTCCGATTCCCACGGAGCCACGGTCCGGCGGCAAGCTCCCCAAAGACACAGGCGCGAATCCTCGGAGTAATCAGAAAATGTTCAGGTAAGCACTGAGCTTTCAGGCTGTTCATGAGACTCGGCTGCCGGCCAGCTCCGACTCCGGCACCGGCCAGGCCCAGGCCCAGGGAGCCCGAGCCCAGCTGGCCAGGCTTCGGACTTCCGCCCGGACCGATGCCCAGCCTCCCACCAAGGAGATTCTCGGTACGTCTCAGCGCGCTAAGGCTCTCAGCAAGCCTGGATGAAACCTGGTCCACAAAGACTGCCAAATCCCTGTGAAACACGATAGCTTCCTGGGACATGCCACGGTCACAAGTGCAGTGCTTCAAGAAATTCCATATGATTGAGATGGAATGGAGCAAACGTAAAACCGAGCATCTTCTTCAAGGTCTGGCCCTCCGCTTCTGGCCATGAGCTTTTGCTGCATTTGTTCGAAGCGCTCGTGCAATCTCTGCGCCGGCTCTGCAATTTGTTGCAGATCAGCTGGTGGCAGTGCTGCTATTCGCGGTTGCATCTGCTCAAATCGCTGCATAAGCCCTGCAATGCCCTCGACAGCATCCTGCAGCGGTGCTGTGGCTGCCCCGGGAGAAGGCGCACCACATCCGCTTGTTCGAGGGAGGGGAAGCTGTCCCGCAGGCAGGACTACCAACAACGCCACCACCAGAAACCGGCTCCACGTCCGCGCCATGGCACAATACCGAACTCGCTACCTGAGAAGTACGTGGTACCTTGAAGTTCTACTGCAGAGGATAAACCATGCTACTTAATCGCGGCCCTTGCAAATCTTGTGGCCGTTGGTTCCAATAATCAATAATCAATATTCGCACTGGGCATCTTTGTGCTCGCGTGTTTGCCAATCAAGCTGGAGCAATGTGTTTTGCATGACATGAAAACTTGCATATACACTAATCATATTTACCTCTGAAGCGGTCCTTGAGGGCGGGCATGCAATGCACAGCAAAATCTCTTGCAACTCCGGGACTGCGAAAGAAAGACTTTGTCATCACAGACAGGAGATGACTCCATTGCTTGGAGGGTCCTCTTCGACTGGGCAGAGTTCTCAACCCTGAGGCCTTCGCGAGGAACTGAGCCGCACAAGATAAGGTCGCTCGAAAACAACTCGGAAGCCTGTTGCACCCGAATTTTAAGCAGGTTCATGCGCGCATCTATAGTATAGCATATTACATATAGCTACTCCAAGAGCAGGCAGTGGAGAACCAAAGCTCAGTGGGCTTCTATCCGCACGAGCACGATCGGAGTAGTAGGACCAGCAAGCGGTAGCAGTAGCAGTAGCTCTTGTCCAACAGTTTCCGCAGTGACATAGATCAAACTCTTGGAGCACTGCACAGGCCTTTGAGCGTCACCCATGTCGTTTGGACCCTGCTCTGTTTTCCCGAAGAACACTGGAATTACGCAGGAGGATGAAAAGGAGGATGCCCAGTGCATCGGTTTGTTCATTGAGGAAGGTCATGCAGATCCCACTGCTCCACGGTTGATGGCAGGTTCCAACACATGCACTGATTTCCAGGTGATACGTTGTGTCTTCCTGATCAGCAGCCTGGGCTTTGCATGAAGGACATGTGACATGGAAGCTCTCAAACGGCTCGACGGATTGCCCGAAGGAGTCTTGGAGAGGGAAGCGTAACGACGGCCACCAACGAATCTATGCCCCCCCAAGGTCTTCGTTACAGGGGCCTTTTCGAAAGCCCATTTCACCGCCTGCATCGAGGTACCAGCCTGTTTCCCTGGTTAACTTTAAGTTGCCTGTTGTGCTCCATTGTGAAGCGGATCGCACCGGTGCACAAGTTCACGACCATCACGTGAGCTAGGGACGTATTGACAACATTTCATAAACACTCTCTCAACGATTGTCGGTCTCAGAACCGTGTGCTACTGTATCATGCCCTACAGACACACAGCGTGCACTATGGCTTGAGAATCCGGATGGCGACATCCCACTGAGCAATGAAGAGCAGTGCTTGCAGTACTCGGGTGCCGTGCATGTTCAGTCGTCGTTCGGTTCATGCTACAATGCCATGAGCAGGGCAGCGTTTCATTTTGATAGCATTTCATGTTCGGAAAGAGGATTGCATCTCTCCCGGTGATATGTAAAATCTCGGTTCCCTGAGCTTCTGCTCGACAGAGTATGCCTACATTGACAGCGGATGACTGAAATGACTGAAATAGTCGCATGTCGAACGCATTATCGCTGATGCGGCAGGGGGAAAAACCGCTACTCAATGTGCGGACGCTGCTCATGCAAGCAGATGTCTTACTCTCCTCTAAGGCCATCAGAATACCTTTGTGCGATGATGGTACCGGCATGTCTGCGATCAGCAGTCCATGATATGACCCGGATGTGTGCCCTGCCGGACCAACATTATGATCAGAGTGGACCCACCCAACATTGGCCAGAAAAGATGGGCTACATGGGTCCGGGCGCAAGCGGCTTGAAGCAACGGTTTTCGGTAGAAAGCGGCCGCACACTTTTGTGTGCATCCACAGGGACTACTACCGCCTGGCCACTACCATCGAACATCAGCTTCTTGCTGACTAGGCTGGACGCCCCGAGAAAGCGCCGCTGGACTGCAGAAATGGGTGCAGGGCTCCGCCTGAAAGACTTGCTGGACGCCACATCGGCTTTGCTGCGTCTGGAAGAAGAGGGAGTAGTGGTTGTTAATGTAGTCTCAAAGTCGTAGTACGGTTTTTTAAGCCTGCTCAGGCTTGCTCCACGAGCTTTCGTGAGAACATCGTTTGACATATGTCGACGATTCAAAAGGCAACGGAAGATCATGTCTGAAGAACCTGGAGGTTGAAGGCTAGAGCGAGGGCGAAGAGTGAACCTTCGAGACGTGACGACTGTGCATTGTCTGCATTGCGCGCGCGGGTGTGTGTGTGTGTGTGTGCCTGTGTGTCTGTGTGTATGTGTGTATGTGTGTATGTGTGTATGTGTGTGTGTGTGGGTGTGTGTGTGTGTGTGTGTGTGGGTGTGGGTGTGGGCGTGGGCGTGGGCGTGGGTGTGGGTGTGGGTGTGGGTGGGTGGGTGGGTGGGTGGTGTGTGGGTGCGTTTGTGGGTGCGTTCGTGCGTGCGTGCATGCGTGCGTGCGTGTGAAGAACGGCCCAAGACGCACAGCTAATTGCTCAAAGCAAGCACCACAGAAGCCGTACGATGATGTGCTGCTCAGCACTGGGGGACTGATGCATCGAGCCATATCTTCAAAACCGACGCATTTTGATCTCCAAGCAGAGGGTTGCTCTTGCATAGCACTCAGTTCATCCGCTTCAGCAGGTCGTTGATAAGTTCCTGTCCGAAAGAGAGGCAGACATTGCTTGTGCATGCCTGTTGCCTGCCAGTGTTTCCGAACAGTTGAGGGCAAGGGTGAAGGTCACGACCCACTTGCCCGTCCTCCCGGTTGCCCCAATCCCCTCCTCGGGCTTCGCAGAAGCCATGACCTCAAACAGGTCTAAATGAATCCGCAACTCCAGGAATCGGCGGCTTCCTCGTCTAAGGTCCCAGCGCTTGTTGATGAACCCACCCTTGGGAGAGCTCAGCTTGAATGGCCACAAGAAGTTGGACGCCTGCATTGGTGCAAGTTGACCAATGAAGCGACGGCGTCGCCATGCGTTGCCCGCCCACCCCGCTCGCTTTGCTTCCCCCGCTCAGTGCTTACCTGTTTGAAGCTTGGGCCGACGGTGTAGATCTCGTGGATGATGTCTTCCATGCCATGGATGCCATACCTGGAGCCAGCATCAAGCTGCCGTGAATCGGCTCAAAACGTGTGCGCCCTGGGGCAGCCGCTTGCCCAAGTTATCTGAGATGATGTCGTTGGAGGCGAGGGGAAGGCGCTGCTTGTTCACCTGCAGGAGGGGAATGCCATTAGTAGGGCCAAGCATGGATGTACTTGTCGCACAGCGAGGGCCTTGCCGAATCCACGCTTGTAGACAAGCTCACGCACCGTTTTCAAGGATGGGTAGCCATAGGTCACATATGGCTGGACGAGCTTGAGCATGTTCAGGATGGGCTTGTTCACCTCAGCGCGGCTTGGCACGGCAGCAGAATCGCAAGCGGCCGCAATCGGCAGGCCTTCAGGAACACGCCGTTGTGCAACTGCTTGAGTCGGAGCAGCTGGAGCACCTTCCTCCGGAGCCGCAGTGGCAATGGTTACAGCTGTTCACGTCTGCTGCCCGTGTCGAAGGACCACGCCTGGGTTTTGGGCTCATTTTGATGATGCCCGCAATGCGGACGACGAAGAGCAACTTCGCCTTCGCAAAGGGCCACGGTAGCAACATGCTGCAAGGGCATCTCGGCGGGCCCTCACTACTTTGCACTTTGCACGCCTCCGGCTCCACGAAGAAGTTTCCGTTGAGCTTCGCCTCCCGGCGGAGCTTCACGAGCTCCGATGCGGTGTCGGCATACTCCTGGCCCGCACGACTTGCAAGCCTGCCCACCCCACCCCACACATCTCCCGTCTCCCTGACTCCTTCTCGTAGGCCTCGGTCCGCTCTTTGAGCTTCGCCCGCTCCTCCTGAGCAGCGTGTGATCTCTGCCACAAGGCTCCACCTTTCCGCTGGCATAGGAGTTCAGCCTGTCGCTGCTTCTGCGTCTCTTCAAGGGCCTGCTTCTTCTCCTGGGAGCGTTCCGCCGCCGGCACACAATGGCAACAAAAGAAGATGCCAGGCGGGGTGCTGCTGCCAGCTTGTCGTCCCGAGCTTGCCGGAGCTTCACCAGCTCGGGCACTGCCGCGCCCTCGGGCACCTCCGCCTGGAGCAGAGAGGAGCAGTGCATAAGGCGTAAGCACTTCTCACCCACAGGGCAATAGGGGCAACGACGCGCCTTGGAGATCAGGTACCGCTCAGCCATGGCTGATGTCTAGCCCGCTTGCTCGAGCCGCCAAGACTTCAAGGACACAGGCTGTGATGAATATTGTGTTTCTTCCAGGTGCAATGGCTTCTTCCTCAGCGCCGCAAGCAAAGCAGCAGGAAGTTGCCTGCCTCTCGGAAGGGGCTTACACAGCTTCCAGTCTTAGTCGCGTTCCCTTCAGCATTCTCCCAACAGCAGTTTTTGATCTCCGGCGGCAGAGTGGCTCCAAGTTCGCAGCTCAGTTCATTCGCTTCAAGAGGTCGTTGATCAGTTCCTCGACATACATCAACAAAGGGAGGGTCCGGTTGGCTGGCTATGGCAAAAGGCCGTCCTCGCGATTTCCCCAGTCGCCTCCTCGTGCTTCGCAGAAGCCATGACCTCAGGCAATGCCAGGCGTTGCTGCTGTCACGGTGCGCTGTAGGCTGTAGGGCTTGGTACACTCAAGTGCACAACTGCATTATAACTGGAAGCTGGAGGCCCCAGCGCTTGTTGATGAACCCACCCTTGGGAGAGCTCAGCTTGAATGGCCACAAGAAGTTGGACGCCTGCATTGGTGCAAGTTGACAATGAAGCGACGGCGTCGCCATGCGTTGCCCGCCCACCCCGCTCGCTTTGCTTCCCCCGCTCAGTGCTTACCTGTTTGAAGCTTGGGCCGACGGTGTAGATCTCGTGGATGATGTCTTCCATGCCATGGATGCCATACCTGGAGCCAGCATCAAGCTGCCGTGAATCGGCTCAAAACGTGTGCGCCCTGGGGCAGCCGCTTGCCCAAGTTATCTGAGATGATGTCGTTGGAGGCGAGGGGAAGGCGCTGCTTGTTCACCTGCAGGAGGGGAATGCCATTAGTAGGGCCAAGCATGGATGTACTTGTCGCACAGCGAGGGCCTTGCCGAATCCACGCTTGTAGACAAGCTCACGCACCGTTTTCAAGGATGGGTAGCCATAGGTCACATATGGCTGGACGAGCTTGAGCATGTTCAGGATGGGCTTGTTCACCTCAGCGCGGCTTGGCACGGCAGCAGAATCGCAAGCGGCCGCAATCGGCAGGCCTTCAGGAACACGCCGTTGTGCAACTGCTTGAGTCGGAGCAGCTGGAGCACCTTCCTCCGGAGCCGCAGTGGCAATGGTTACAGCTGTTCACGTCTGCTGCCCGTGTCGAAGGACCACGCCTGGGTTTTGGGCTCATCTTGATGATGCCCGCAATGCGGACGACGAAGAGCAACTTCGCCTTCGCAAAGGGCCACGGTAGCAACATGCTCCAAGGGCATCTCGGCGGGCCCTCACTACTTTGCACTTTGCACGCCTCCGGCTCCACGAAGAAGTTTCCGTTGAGCTTCGCCTCCCGGCGGAGCTTCACGAGCTCCGATGCGGTGTCGGCATACTCCTGGCCCGCACGACTTGCAAGCCTGCCCACCCCACCCCACACATCTCCCGTCTCCCTGACTCCTTCTCGTAGGCCTCGGTCCGCTCTTTGAGCTTCGCCCGCTCCTCCTGAGCAGCGTGTGATCTCTGCCACAAGACTCCACCTTTCCGCTGGCATAGGAGTTCAGCCTGTCGCTGCTTCTGCTTCTCTTCAAGGGCCTGCTTCTTCTCCTGGGAGCGTTCCGCCGCCGGCACACAATGGCAACAAAAGAAGATGCCAGGCGGGGTGCTGCTGCCAGCTTGTCGTCCCGAGCTTGCCGGAGCTTCACCAGCTCGGGCACTGCCGCGCCCTCGGGCACCTCCGCCTGGAGCAGAGAGGAGCAGTGCATAAGGCGTAAGCACTTCTCACCCACAGGGCAATAGGGGCAACGACGCGCCTTGGAGATCAGGTACCGCTCAGCCATGGCTGATGTCTAGCCCACTTGCTCGAGCCGCCAAGACTTCAAGGACACAGGCTGTGATGAATATTGTGTTTCTTCCAGGTGCAATGGCTTCTTCCTCAGCGCCGCAAGCAAAGCAGCAGGAAGTTGCCTGCCTCTCGGAAGGGGCTTACACAGCTTCCAGTCTTAGTCGCGTTCCCTTCAGCACTCTCCCAACAGCAGTTTTTGATCTCCGGCGGCAGAGTGGCTCCAAGTTCGCAGCTCAGTTCATTCGCTTCAAGAGGTCGTTGATCAGCTCCTCGACATACATCAACAAAGGGAGGGTCCGGTTGGCTGGCTATGGCAAAAGGCCGTCCTCGCGATTTCCCCAGTCGCCTCCTCGTGCTTCGCAGAAGCCATGACCTCAGGCAATGCCAGGCGTTGCTGCTGTCACGGTGCGCTGTAGGCTGTAGGGCTTGGTACACTCAAGTGCACAACTGCATTATCACTGGAAGCTGGAGGCCCCAGCGCTTGTTGATGAACCCACCCTTGGGAGAGCTCAGCTTGAATGGCCACAAGAAGTTGGACGCCTGCATTGGTGCAAGTTGACCAATGAAGCGACGGCGTCGCCATGCGTTGCCCGCCCACCCCGCTCGCTTTGCTTCCCCCGCTCAGTGCTTACCTGTTTGAAGCTTGGGCCGACGGTGTAGATCTCGTGGATGATGTCTTCCATGCCATGGATGCCATACCTGGAGCCAGCATCAAGCTGCCGTGAATCGGCTCAAAACGTGTGCGCCCTGGGGCAGCCGCTTGCCCAAGTTATCTGAGATGATGTCGTTGGAGGCGAGGGGAAGGCGCTGCTTGTTCACCTGCAGGAGGGGAATGCCATTAGTAGGGCCAAGCATGGATGTACTTGTCGCACAGCGAGGGCCTTGCCGAATCCACGCTTGTAGACAAGCTCACGCACCGTTTTCAAGGATGGGTAGCCATAGGTCACATATGGCTGGACGAGCTTGAGCATGTTCAGGATGGGCTTGTTCACCTCAGCGCGGCTTGGCACGGCAGCAGAATCGCAAGCGGCCGCAATCGGCAGGCCTTCAGGAACACGCCGTTGTGCAACTGCTTGAGTCGGAGCAGCTGGAGCACCTTCCTCCGGAGCCGCAGTGGCAATGGTTACAGCTGTTCACGTCTGCTGCCCGTGTCGAAGGACCACGCCTGGGTTTTGGGCTCATCTTGATGATGCCCGCAATGCGGACGACGAAGAGCAACTTCGCCTTCGCAAAGGGCCACGGTAGCAACATGCTCCAAGGGCATCTCGGCGGGCCCTCACTACTTTGCACTTTGCACGCCTCCGGCTCCACGAAGAAGTTTCCGTTGAGCTTCGCCTCCCGGCGGAGCTTCACGAGCTCCGATGCGGTGTCGGCATACTCCTGGCCCGCACGACTTGCAAGCCTGCCCACCCCACCCCACACATCTCCCGTCTCCCTGACTCCTTCTCGTAGGCCTCGGTCCGCTCTTTGAGCTTCGCCCGCTCCTCCTGAGCAGCGTGTGATCTCTGCCACAAGACTCCACCTTTCCGCTGGCATAGGAGTTCAGCCTGTCGCTGCTTCTGCTTCTCTTCAAGGGCCTGCTTCTTCTCCTGGGAGCGTTCCGCCGCCGGCACACAATGGCAACAAAAGAAGATGCCAGGCGGGGTGCTGCTGCCAGCTTGTCGTCCCGAGCTTGCCGGAGCTTCACCAGCTCGGGCACTGCCGCGCCCTCGGGCACCTCCGCCTGGAGCAGAGAGGAGCAGTCCCATGCTTCGTTGACAGGTCTGCTCAAGCCGCATGCCTTGGAGATCAGATACCGTTCAGCCATCGTTGATGAGCCCAAGTGCTTGAGCCACATGGACTTTACACGTGTCGCTTCGGCAGGCAGCCAATGCAAACAAGTTGAACACAGAGCGGAGATAATGATGACACGTGATCATGGCCGTCAACAACAACATACCATTGTGCTCGATACGACGTTGGATTTTTGCTTCCGCACGGCAAAATTTGCAACATTCTGCATCTCCTAACTGTAACTTGCAGGCAGAAGCAAAAGCGAGCAAGCCTTGAGCACAGCTGCCAGCAGCTGCGTGACTTGCGGCCAGCATCTGCTTCGCTAGCTTCGCAGCATGGCTTTTGGCACACAGAGGTGATCAAAGGAGCGCCTTGCAGCTTGCTCGTAGACGCGAACCACATGGAACAGAGAATGCCACAGCTTTGCTCGGCTTGGCCGGATTTCAAGCTCATCCTCGCTAGCGCATGTTACCGAAGCCGCCGAACCTGGGCTGGTCCACCAAACGAGAACGAATCCAAGAAGGAACGTTTGCACTCCTTGAATCCTTGTCCTTGGTGCTTGGTTCGGGGCTGCCCAGGCGGAGCGCCGATCGCTGGATTCTTGCCAAAGGCCCTGGTTTCGGAGTTTAGCCTAGAAAGCGACTTGGAGCCTAGTCAAGCCTGGCCTGCCCAAAGACCTGCGGCTTTCGACGAGCTTGTCCTGCTCCTGCTTCTGCAACAGGTAGCGCCTCCCGCCGGGCAGCAAAAACGACGTGCTCAGCAGTCAACATGCCACTAGCTGCTGCTCTCGCATTGTGCTTCAGCAGAAACTAGGCCCCAAGCCGGCCCACGTCCTGGTCTCCGCCACCGTACTTTTCCACAAACCTGACACGCCACAAGTTGACCACTGGCAAGCTGTTGTTCGTCGACCAGGGTTGCCCGATCACAAAGCATTCCAACGATGGCGGCACAACTTGCGAAGGTCGGTAGGGCTGCAGGCCGCTGCCTCCAGCAAAGTGCTACTACTGGGCACAACGTGTCTTTGATTGCGGAGCTGGTCCCCGCAGAAACACAAGAGTACAGTAAGGCCTTCAGAAACTCTAGCAGGTCTGCAAGCTCCTCGGCATTCAGGAGCGTGGATGACATGTTGGGCAGTCTTCACAAGGCCCCTGCCGTGTCGCTGGTGTCGCCATCGAACGGCCGAATCACGATACCATTGGCCGGCTGGCAGGTCGAAGTGAATGGATCATTGTGTGCAGAACAGTAGGCAGGTTTTTCCTCTGGTCCAACTGTTAGGCAACAGTCTGGTGACGTCGTTTGCTTGCGCGCATCTCCCTCGCCCACCATTTATGCCCTGGTCGCATTGCTTAACCGTGCTGCTTGTTCGACTGTTGTCGTGGGTCTGAATCTTCGAAGGCGCATAAGAGCTTGTTGCAGCAATCATCGTCAAACAACGACATGGTTGCACACGTCAAGAATCCATGAAAACACCTTCAGCTGGGAACGAACGGCAGGACTGCGCACATGAGCGCCCAGAAAGCGATGTGACGGTAGGCGAGTGCTATAAGAGCGACAAGTGAACATGTGCGACTCCTGGTGGTCGAGTCGATGCATGCAAAACTTGACCAGTAAAGGAGCAGCTTTGTGTGCATGTGAATGTAAAGTTGGCCAAATCGGGCTGCTTCATGGTTCTGAACTGATGCTCAGCAAGCAAGCTGTGCAATCAAGCACAGAAGTCGCAACAAACAGCGAACGCGACACTCTGGAGAGCAACAAAAAATACTAAACTCAGAGACACACGATAACACGACCATGGCAATTTAGCGATCGGCATCGCCTTGATCATCTTGATGATACTACTCTCAACACTATCTGTGTTGTTGTCGGTGCGTGTCATCATATTCTGATACAGTAACACTTTCGCGTACGAGCAACATGGTCAGGACCTACAAAGCGCAGAGGAATCGCGACATGCTGGCCCTCAGCACATCCAGGCCACCTGCTGGACGGAGAAAACCAGGGGGAACAGTCGGTAGGTGAACACACGAAGACACCACCACACGCAGCTATGCTTTCGGGGCGCTGTCGCAGCTGAAACGAGGCTGTCAGAACAAGCAGAGATTGGGATGCGCATTGACTGTAGCTTTCGGAGGCTAGAGATGATCATATCTTCACATCGTTTGATGCCCGGGGTGTGTGTCGGAAGCAAAACTCCTTGCAGGCGCTGGCAAAATGTTTATGGAGCTGACGACGGATCCGTAGGCAATCCCTTTAAGGAGGAGAGGGCGCACCTCGAGGAGCACGCTCACCAAAGGACGCACGCCAGTGATAGTCGGCAAAGCACGACGAATCTTGGAGCCCCGGTCGCTAATGCGCTCACACCAGGAGCGCAGGCTTGCCAATGCAAATTCAGTGTTCGTCTCGAGTTGACACTGGACCTGGTGTGCACCTGCAAAAGGTGTCCGTCCCTCCGCCACTGCCCCGTGTGACATGGACAACACGAAAACACTGTGCTTGAATGGAGCACCGTGGCCCATCCACGAGTCGTAGCGAACCCATCCGTGAAAACCAGTTGCTCCCGCGAGACAAGAGCTCAAATGCCAACTGATTGCACCCAAGCCTCAATGCCAGCATGCACAGCATGTCAACTTCATGCGCATGTCCGTTCCAAAGTGGTATCTGGCAGCCTCGGCCTGAGGCAAAAGCCAACCTGAAGTTTGCAGGTCACAGCTGGTTTAGTCTTCGGTGGGCCAGGCCATCCAGTTGCCTTTGTCCCTTGCGTAAGGCTATTGGCGTAAACCACGACATACAGAATTGGAGCAAGAGTGATCGTGGCTGCACACACCATTGATACACCGTTGATCAGCACAGGGTGCCTGCTAGCAAACGCCCCGCCTGCAGCTGGAAAGCTGCCGGATCGTGATCGATCATGAGGGTCTAGGTCCAGAGCAGCTCACCCTTCAACTTCTTTACATGTTACCGCTGCTTGTGACCAATGTGTCCAAGCAGCTCTATCCAACCTGCGGCCCAACTTGGAAAGGTCCTTGCAAATCCGTGGCAAAGCTCCATGTGCAGCAGCTTACAGCCGCGTGTCCTTCACGAAATGGTTCCGTTTCCTCAGTGCCATCGCCACAGGGCCAAGACTTTGCCACCGTTCTGGTTTAGGGCTTGACTGCCCTGCTTGCGGCCCGAGGGCTTTTTGCAGAAGTCTCGATGAAGAACGCCGGAGATCTGTGCAAGTCACTGAGCTCAAAGAGCGCATGCTCTCGTGTCTCCTACAGTACTGCGAACTCAACTGTGCTCGAATCTACGATGTTGATCTTCATTTTTCCTGGCTACGCGCGTACCGCTGCTTTAGCTGCTGTTGCACCTGGGAAGTCTCCTAAGGAGTATCCTTGGGATGATGTGGAAGAGCAGAAGCAGAAGCAGCTTCAGGACAAAGCGAAGCCGAACAAGCATAATAACGATAACAGGAGCACCAACGTGGTGGACGAGATGGCTCCTGCCATCACTACAGTCAGTGCACCGTCAGCTTGCGGCGCACTGCTGCTGCACCGCGGTGCAGCATGCTGAGGCAAATGCCGGAAGATTCCATTTCGAGACAATGTCCAAAGCCACCTCGCATTTTCGGTTGCTCAGCTTGTGCCGTGCAGCGGCAATGAGTATGAACACAACGAGCTTGTAAAAACGCTCAGATGGGAGCTGGAAACACATCGTCAGAGAAAATTACCAGTTCGTAGTAGTGGCAGATCTCCTTGCAACAAGAAGCTACATGGTATGCTACTGAAGCCCATGAGCTGGATGCTTCTGCACCGAGAGAATCCTTGAAGAACTGGTCCGCAAAGGGTCTCTTCACAACTTGCCAGCCCTCGGCGACAAGCGCATAATCACATAGCTGCACAATTTGCAGTAACACCAACAATCTGCAGAAGTCTCTGCGTGCCTGCTTGCTCTCGTGATGAAGGTGGAGTATCACCTGCTTGCTGTACGCTTCCTAGAAGTCCATGCTTGCGCCGTGTTGCCGGCCTTGTCCAAATCAAGCACCAGTGTGGGGAGCATCTCATCGTATTTCATGGTCTGGCGGTCCAGGAGCCACGGCTCCTGCAATGACGAACCTTCACGAAGCCCGAAGCTCCGACAGTCTTGGTATCTCCTGGCGCTTCCCCAGAAGCCGATCTCCCGTGTTCTCAAAGAACTCGCGGGAAGTGTCGTTGAAGTCCTCTACGACGCTTTTCGATCTGTCCGTCCCTCTGAGCATTCATTCACTCCGAGTTCTGCTTGTATCTTCTTGGTCCTTGTGCGAAACAACACGAGGAAAAACTGACGACAAACACATCGCTCTGCTTTCATTGATTCGCAAGAGGTTCGAAGGCCAGTGGCTGTGGCTGTGTTTGTGCTTGGACCCTTCTCGGGCCTTTTGGGTACGGATGGGGCTTGAGGGGGGCCGCCCGTTCCAGGCCATTAAAGCAGAATTCTGAGATGTCTTGAAGCTGAGCCGACTGCACGGTCAAATCCAGTCGTCTTAAATCTGCTCAGTCTTGGCTCGGCCTTCGAGAGACTAACAGTGACTCACTACACGGAACCGCCCGGCTGACCACTTGCGTCAGCCTGCCGCACGCTGCAGTTATGAAAAAGTATGCCTACTCCGACTCGGGCTTCCCTCTCAGCAAAACTCATGTCGCGAAGGATGCCGCAGAAGTTGCAAGACTTGCAAAACTCCTCAAAAGCTTCTGTGAGCTTCTTGACAGCTGCGTCGACAGGACTGCGGACGCTGTCCGATGCTGCATAAGCCTTACTTTCGCATTGTTCAGCATCCGTTCCTTTTGCAATCCAGCTTGCCGTCGCTGGGATGCGAACAACTCCGGCACCTCCTACAGCGGCACCGAGTACCTGGCAGCTCTTGAGATCAGATGGCCGCAACTAAACAATTCGCATCCAGTGCAGTTGACTCTGTGGCTCACCCTTCCTGCTGTGACCATCTCCTTCCGTCTGGCTGCTGGCCTCTGTGTGGCACTTGCAGAATGGAGTTGTATCGTTGCGAGACGAAGCTTCAGGACCCTTGCTTGGGAGACTCAGACTCTGTTCTCTCATCTTGGCTGTGGCCCTGGCCTGGGCCGAAGCTTTGGAGCTTCGGTCGCCTGGGAACTGAAACCAGCAGGATTTCGGGAGGCGAATACACCGCACCTCTGCCGCGAGCGTCTGGAGTCCTCGGCCAATGATAGGGGTTGAGTCTGAGCCACAAGGAAATTCGAAGTTTGTTGAGCTCGTGCTTACGCTACACTCACACAATCAGAAGCTCAGCAAATCACTCATCTACTTTCTGGTTACTAGCTCCGACCGTCATCGCACGTTGTCGTTTGCATCTGGGACAATCGCAAAAAACTGCATCAAACTCGCAAAGCCCCGAGCCCAGTCGCCCTTGCGCAGCTGCTTCAGCTGAGCTGACGGCGTGCGAGCGAAGCCTACTGCAAGGCCAGGCGTCGGAAGCGCAAACTGCGCGGGGTCGCGCCCAGTGCTGTCACAGCGCGCCCGAGGCGCCACATGCCGCACACCACGGAATGGAGAAGTGCGGTTAAGACTTTATGCCTGGAGCTGCAACCGGTGTCAGGCTTGAAAAACATCGTCAGGGCTAATACAGACACTTTCGGCCCTGTTCAAATTCAGTAGTGTCTGGGATGGCCGAGGGAAAGGGTAGGCAAAATGGCTTCTGTGGCAATCATCTGCTGACGATGTGCACTCCTAAGTTGAGGATTTGACTGAAGGTCTAGATGGCCTAGCGCGAAAACATTAACAACAAGGCTTACAACAGTATGGCTGCAGTCTCTACATGCACGTCTTGAGCATCAGTCGAGGAAGAAGCTGGTCGTCTGCGCAGACAAGCTCACGACCGACGGCTGATTTGTGATTTTACGTATGTCCAAATGACCTCGTTTGCGTTTTACACATAACCAGGCTTGAACTGGCTCTCTTCGACTCCGTGGCATTTCTGATCCTATCCTGCAGCTCGTCTTCCGCGCGTGGCAGACATGTGCAGACGTCTTTTCCTGCAGCCCCTGCAGTCCACGAACCCCAGCTGTACAACTTCGGAAGCTCCGAACTTCGCCCCTGGGGACCTGCACGACCCAAAGCTTTTGTTGCGGGCAAAGCCGCAGTAGCCGTGATGCGGTTTTGCGTGATGCAGGGTGTGCTGTCTTCCCTGTGATTAGCAAACACCCACCCAGGTCGAATGAACGTTGCTTCTGCCCTCAACAGTGCCCGGAGCAACGACCAAGCGGGTAAATTGGCTTACTCGGACAAGGCATTAGCTTCATTAGAACTTTAGGTTGCTTTGACATGCAATTTACAGCAAAAGCCGTCTCTTGGCGAAAGCCATGGGCACAGCGAGCCTGGAGAATCTCTGTACAAGCGTATCGCACTGTGGAGCTTTTTTCGGCTCAGCGGCTGCTTTAATCCCACCTACATCATCGTGCTGGTTGGGAGAGAGACCGACGGCTCTCTATTCAGATTCATGGGGGAGTTCCAAGTACAGCGCAACATCAAGGCTGCAGGAAGAACAGAAAGTTGTGTTCTTCATCGCTCGACACATGTTTTGCAGCGCGTGTTTCGATTTGCAAAGGGACGGAGCGAACGGCGGCGCTTGATATGCCGGGTTGCAGGCAGGTGCACATTCATTCAATTCCTTCCTCGATCGACCTGCTCTCCCAACGTACCTGCTGATTGCAGGCTAAAAGGCTCCAGTACGAAGGGGGTGATCGCGGTAACGTATGGTCGAGGGAACTTCTGATTCTGAAGAGCTTCCGAGACAAAAGAAGCTGAAATTGCACAAGCATGTCACAGCCAGCGATGCAGTTTGCCCGACGCTGAACAGCACGATTTACAACTCGTGAAAGCAAAGCATAACATACGTAGACATCGGTTAAGGAAACCATTCAAGGGTCGACGCTCGGCTGCAGAGAGCAAAAAAGGGCTCAAGCCATACATCAAATTGGATTTAACCGGAGCTTTGTAAACGAGAGCCTTGCGGTTGACAGGCACGGAGGAGCCTGGCTGACGGCGGAACCGAGGTAGGTCATGCCGGGTTTTGTCTCGATGAGCTCCCCGGTTGGAGTGGGAATGCGGTTTTTGAGCTCCAACAGCTCTCCTTGGCCAACTACGAATAAGATTCAGTGATGCATCATGGCCGAAGTGATGTGCAAGCAAAAGGCTCGAATACCAAATCGGTGCAGCATCCAGACGGATCCGACGATCTATGCTGTCGAGTCGAGCACCAAGAGTACCATTTAATCATTCCGTTGCGTCCGTGCTTTCGGAATCTTAAAGCCGGAAGATGCACCTTCGCACAGTGAGTCTTTCGAAAACCAATGTGAGACTTTTTGCACCGGTGTCCAAAATGCGTTCCTTTAGAACTGATGCGACACGTTTGCAGACACTGGTGCGATGCTTTGAAGACACATTCGGGTGGTACTGTGTTGTTGGCATGCACCGGATCGCCTTAAGCACCATGACAGCAGAAAAAGTTCTGTTTCACCAACACCAAACAGAGATTGCGAAGTCATTGCAAATAGAGTCTGGCTCCGTCGCAAGTTGAAAGCTCCACAGACCCAAAAACACAGGATGAATCTCCGTGGACCGTATCACAAAGGATACTCTCAGCACTTACAATACCTGGATTCCGTTAAGTCGTCTACAAAAGATCTATGGTCCTGGACTATCTCGATCCTTCGAGGCAATTTCCGACCAAGTTCTTCGAAGCTAAGCCCGTCCGGGTTCACTAAAAATAAGGACCTATTGCCGCATCAATCACGCCGACCGGATTTGTTCTAGCGAAGCGCGAGCCCTGTTCCGAGGAAACCAATCGGCCATCTCAGATTTGTAATCTCCGCTGTTTCATATGATGTCCACGACGAAGTTTCTTCAACGTGGAAGTACCACGACTCGCCATTTCGACCGATGACATGTTTGGCCGATCTCTTTAATCTAGACCTTTTTTTGACAATTCCGGTCGTCACGGAACCTGCACGTCGCTGTTGCAACACTTCTGTTCCGAAGTTGATACAAGGCCGATGTGCGGACAGTTTTCAAGGGGCTGTTGGGTGCCCGCCATGATCACACAAGAGGCGGCTTCGATCCAGCAGAGGAAACGCCGTCAGCAATACTTTGACATGGCCTGCTGAAGCCCAATCTCTGCGTGTAGATCCGGGCAGGGGCCCGTCTGTGAACAGCATAGCTGTGGCCGGGAAGTGACCGGAAGCCAATGAAGCGAAGATAAGCGAAGCGACCACTGCAAATATGGACACGCTAGACTATGGCTATGGCCATGCTATATTGGTTGTATGTCTTAGTTTGCTGCACATCATTCAAGAAATATTGTGACACGGTAAGCGGTCGAAGACCGAGCTAGGACATGCTGGCGAGAGAGGCGGAACTCCGGTCCTGATAAATGACGCTTATATGCCCTGTCTTTCTTTTTGGCAGGTTGCAGAAACAGAAACAGTTTGTGATCGGGAAGTCGTGGCCATAGCAAAGACCTCAAACAAAGCCGCGATATGGCATCTCAAGCTGATGCTGCGCTTCCATGCCGAATGAGGAACAACAGTGGAAACACAAGCTCGTGTCATGAAGAGGAAGTTCAGTTGCACATCGTGACGACTGCTTAGTCTTGCGGCAGCTTGCTTACTCAAGCCTCAGACTCTAACGCACCACGCATCCAAAGGTCCACAGGACAGGGCACTGAAGAATCAACTGGACGACGGGCTGAAGCAATTTCTTGCAAGAGTTCCACAGCTGGTGCCACGAAAGTAAGTATTAACCCGGCTCAGAAATTGCCCTTGCGCTTGGCGCGATCCCGTTCCAGCCTTCGTTAACTCACTCTCGGCTGACCGAATCAAGCAATGCTGCACTGCTGGTCATGACCTGGCTCAGGCCCTAAGGGATGCAAAGTACATGGCGCCATGACCTACAAGTACAGGTTTGGGCTTCAAGCCGTACACAAGCTGGCACGTTTGAGGCCCCTGGAGGCCTCTCTGAGTCTGTCTGTGTTCAAGCTCTCACTGGTTCCCCGTCTGCTTGATTGGCACCGCTGTTGCCAATCTTTAACACATCGACAGTGCGTGACATGCCCAGGGGGGCCTAGATGCCTGGACCTGCCTTCGTGCCTTGGTGGCGAAAGAGACCTGCGTCTCCTAGAAAAGTAAACTGCCTGGCCGAGCACTCTGCGTAGTCTTTGCTGGGGCCAAACTCCGCTGCCCTCCTTGTAACAGGGCAGCAGCTGAGACTTGACCGTCTCGGTGTCTTCTTTCTCTTGCCATCGAAAAGGCACCGGACATGACGCCGGCTGGCGCTAACCCTGACCCCCAACCCTCTTCACGGAACAAACGGCCGTTGCACGAGTCTGCACCCTGGCAGGTTCCCAGTCTCTCTCCCTGCTGTCTCTCGTTCTCTCTCGTTCATTACGGGAAAACACGTAGCCAACATCCCAACGACAGCTACTTGTAACGAAGCCAAGGGTACAAGACATCCGGGCCAGTAGAGATGCAGCTGCTGCCGCCAAACCATTGTGCAGAGATGCTCTCCTGTGCGCCATGTACAATTTTGAGGCAAGTCAGCTACTCTAAAGTTCTAAAGCGAAGTTGCGGCCAGGATTCTCTCCAGAAATCGCTCCTGCATCCGCCTCAGCTCTCAAATCGGCCCCCGAGAGCTGGGCATGGACATCGACTTGAAACTCTGGCCTTGTCCTCCCCATTCTCAGTTCGCTTCATGCTGGAGCCTAGCAGTCTGCACCTTGACGACTGGATCTTGCCAAAATCAGACGCTTGGCTACGGGCCGTTCTGCCCACGCTTTCCTTTCCCCTTCCCTCAGCTGGCTGAACCGAGGCAGTCAAAGCGCGATTAAAAGGCATGGGTACTGCAGGTGCTTTGCCATGCTCTTCTGGGATCGCAGCCCTGCTGGGCACCTTTCCCGCCTTTGCGCGCTGTCTCTGTGGCAAGGAGGAGGACAGCGGCGGCTGCCTTGGCTGTGCTCTTCGACTGTGGGAAGCAGGCCCCGACTCGCGTGTGTCGCTTGGCCTCGGCAAACTGCAGTGGAACTCCTTCGGCATCTCGGCCTCAGCTTCCGACTCGCGGAGTCGTCACTTAACCTCTCCCCTCCTTCGGCATCGCTGTGTGGCTTGCACGCTCTGCTTTGGGGCAATGATTCCGACGCTGCAAAGTTCCAGCTGCGCAAGACAGCCTCCTCACAAGACACTGCCATTGAACCCGTGCCGTGCAAGAGAATGTAACACGCTTCAAAGGCAAGCGCAGAAGAGCTTAGTTGGGTCCTCCACCACGACGGCCTGTGCCGGCTTGGACTTCGACAGATCCGTCTCCTCGGCGTGGGATTGCTAATTTTTGCATGTGCGGCAGATTGCCTTGCCGGGCATCCTGCCTGAAGGACGGAAAAGAGGGCCTATGCCGTGGCAAGGTCATGCAGGCAGCAGGCAGCAGGCTAGCATGTGCTCAGCAACAGAAAGCACAATGTATGACTCCACTCCTTGCGGAGGCGCTCTTCGTCCACAAAGGGCAGCAAAACGATGGCCTGTGCAGTAACAAAGGGGTGAGCTTGCAAGCGCACTCCTTTGCTGTGCTCTTCTGCGCCTGCCACTCTTTGTCTCCTTCTTTCAGGTCCGTCCTCAGCAGAAGGCTGTGAGCTCTCGGCGACAAGGGGCCGCCAGCTTGTCTCATGTGGCTCGTACACTTTTCGGCTTGATAAACTCACGCACCGCCTGGCGACTTCTTCGTGCGCCGACATCTCACCGGTTATAGTAAGGCCTCAAAATGTGCGTAAGCAAAAATTGGGACAGGGATTTCCCACATAAACCCCTTTGTAATGAAGCCCTATGAGGTAGGGATATCCCTGTGAAATGCTTATGCTTATGTCCTTTCTGGGTCTCTAACCGCCTGGCTCCTGCCACAGGGCGAGATCCCGTGAGGACGTACACAGCCTCGGCGTGATGTCGAAAAGCCTTCCTTCGTCGTCCATACGCAGCGCAGAGGGGAGGTCGTTGCAGTGGCACTCCTCCGTGAACGGACTGCATCGCGTGGGTGGCAGCCTGAAGCCCAGATCTTCCAGGTAGCTTCTTGCCTCCAAAGGGCACGAGGTATGCCTCGTCGAGCAGAAGAACACAAGGCTAAAGCGATCGCCTCCTTCGAAGGGCCGCGCAAAGTGCATCGCCCGCCCGTCGAAGCGTGCCCAGCAGTTCCGAACGTTGACACTGCGGCCCATGCAGATCTCGCCCTGGCCACATACGAACGTCATTGCAATTATTGCTGGTCACCACGGCATACATCCGTAGCACGACTACTCTTTCGGATCAAGCTCCTACATGTTTAGTACAAGTGACTTAAGAAAAAGCCTGACTCCTCTTTGCAATGGCAGTCTCTCAACACTCCCGGCATCAGATGCTGTACCGGACATGAGGCTTCTAAACTGCAAAGATACCCGCTGCCATGACATCTGTCTCAGCAGTTCCAAATCTGCAAAAGTAAAGTGAACTTTCGATGAGCGATACTTTACTTTATGGCCTGTGTTTACACAGGAAATTCCGACGGTAACCAGCTTTAAACCTGCTCAGCACGAGATCCAGCCTTGCGATAACGAGGCGGAATGTCATGCTCCAGGACGTGCTTCTCGGAGCCAAATGCCGATTCGACGAAAAGTTCACCGCCAGAGCTCCAGTCACCCACCGCAGTGATCCAGCTGGGGCCGAGATTGTTGCCATCCACGTGCGGCCGGGCCGCGTAGTTTCGGTTCAGCTGGATGCTGGTGCATGCCAGCGCTTGGCAGCCCGGGATGCGGCCCACTGCCTGCTCCTGGCGAAGATGCTGCTTCCAGAAGCGCAGCAGCATCCGACAAAGCCCGGGATATAGCCGCGTACTGCGCGAGGGCAGAGGCATGCCTGCGGTACTGGCGCAAGAGACTAGGCCAAGAGTTAAGGAGTCGATAGTCTCGACGCCGTCAGGGCGGACATTGGCCCGTCCTGTGTTTTTCCAGTGCTTGTCCGGAATTTTTCTGAGAGCTTCTAGAACCTGATTGCCCGAAATTGGCATCGCCGGCTCGGAGCAGGAATCATGCCGGGACGGCTTGATGAAACAGTGGCTCGAAAGGTACCGGACGCTGAACATCCGACGCCTGAAGTCGGGCTCCTCCTCGCTGCCATCGCTCATGGCGAACAGCTCACCCCCTTCTTCCACCACCATTGCCATGGCCCTCTAGGAAGAATAAAGCAACAGGCACTACTTATGTGTGCAAATATGCTTCATGCTTTCGGCGTTGGGGCTTGAGCTGTCGAGATATGCCGGCTGTGACATGATCCATGGTAGACTGCGTAGACACTTACTCGCTGAAGCCTAAGCCCTTTGAGGTTTAGGTTTCCGCGATGCTCGAGCCACCAGGGCTGAGTTGCTCCGAAGCTTTGCACATTTCAGGGCTTTTTCGACTCTTCGGCTTCGGTTTCTAAATTCTATAATTTGGCATGGGAAGAGGGCTGAAGCTGCTGGGCTCCTAGAAATGAAGGCAAGGACAACCATTCACCGCAGAACTCCGGGTACAAACAGCACCCTCAATGAACTCGCATCTTGGCTCTGTGCTATGCTATGCATGCTATGCTGTGTGATCTGGGCTTCCAGACTCGAAATGCAAGGGGTAGAAGTCGGCGATGGGGGACTGCCTGTCCTGGGAGGCACGGCGTCTCAAGGCCTCCCTTGCACTCTGAGGCTCAGGTTGGAGGGGCTCCTCCAACAGCGGCCGTAATCTTTGTGGAAGCAGCGGTGAGGACTGCGGTGGAAGCACCGCCAGCAGCTGCCTCGGACATTCCCGGAACAACTCCAGAGCTTCATAGAGATCAAGAGTACAGGCCGAGGAGACATACAGAGATGTGGACCCAAGCATATCGGCGTCTGAAATGCTCACAAGCTAAACTAAGTCCCTTCTCTCTCTCTCTCTCTCTTTCTTTCGCCAGGGTGACGGAGTAGAGGATTGCTCCCCTACCCCGCGCGCTAGTGCGCGCCCGACTGTTGCGGGTGGCCATGGAGGCAAAAATGCTTTGTTGGCATGGTCCCCAGCCATCTAGAGCCAAGTACCTGGTGAAGCGTAATGAGGGGTGGACCCTTGCCAACTGGAAACATGCAAGCGTCCGGAAAGGAAGGCAACAGCCTTATGGCTATCAAGGAAAAAGAGTTCCGGGAGCTCAAAAAGAGCACGGCTATGTGTGGAGGTCGGCTCCGGCGGCCCGTCTTATGTTACAGCCTCGCGTGTGGCTGAGGCAGAAGTCAAATCCCAATGGAAAAGAGGCGAGTACATCCTCGAGATGCCCCCGCCAGGAAAACATGTGTCTGGAGAGAAGAAAATTGCTCGGACGAATTGTTCTAAAAACGCATATGAAGGGGTAACCGTCTAGGGGACGGCCCCCTGTTGCTCTCACTTGCCCCTCTCACCTTTGCCATCGCCTTTTCCTCGCCGTCCATCTCCGCGCTGACGGTCTGGAAGCCATTCTCCCCGCCGTCGTTGAGTACGGTAGCCGCGGTATTCCTCTTACTGTTGGCCTATAAACCGTTTCCACAGCATTTCGTCCGTTTCTTCTGCCGTCCTCCTCTGTAGTTCACCTTCTTGCAGTAGTTGTTGGAGGCGGCATTTTTGCCTCAAGCTCAGTGTAGGTGGTGGACCCTCCGGTTCCGGTGGTGCACATGAAGACGATGGGGGATTGTCCCCTAGGTTTGTTGTCGCATCTACTGTGGTGACCTCGTCCTCATAGTCCTCCTCGTTTGTGCTGCCGTCGTCTTGGGGTTCTTCACCTGCATTGACCTCGTCCTTTACCTCGGCATAGGTGCAGTTCATCACTTCGCCTGTGTCGTCCTTCTCGTTGTCGTTGAAGACGTCGAAGGTAGGGTGCAGTCCCCTGTGTTCTCCCGCCAAAGGTTGCCCATTGCTTTCAGAGGGGTTGCCCCCAGTGTCATCGTCTTCCTGTTTGGCTTCGTCGGTTGTCTGCTCCGAGGTGGTTTCCCGCTCCGTCAGGGGCGGTGTGGTAGAGGTCGGCATGCTTTGCGCCATGACGTAGTCCTCGGTGGTCTCTTGCTTCGGCACTTGCTGTACTTTGTTGTGGCTCTCAGCATCCCCTTGGGCAGGTCGATGAAGTCGTTCGGGTGGCTGCGCAGCTTGGCTTTGCTTCGATCCCTGCTCGTAAGGGACGGCTCGTGCAGCCCCAGCCTGCAAAGGGGGGGTCCCTTTGAGGAAGGTGGAGGTAGTCGGGCTCGTCGCAGTTGTCCGTGAGGTAGCAGAGCTCGTCGCGGGTGTTCCCCCGGTAGGCGTAGCAGTGCTCGTCGTGGCAGTTCCCAAAGTAGCTGGGCGCATCGTGGTTGTTCCCCCGGTTTTGCTGTCAGAATGTTGTGTCTCTCTCTCTCTCTCTTTTTCTCTCTCTCTTTCTCTCTCTCTCTCTCTCTCTCTCTCTTTCTTTTTCCGGGCTTAGGAGATGGTCAAATGCTCCGGGGTTCAAGCCCACCCGATAGTCTTTATTGGGATAGGAGGAGTGAATAGCGAATGTCGTGCCCCCTTGGCGCCAAAGCCGTTATAATTAAGACTGTCAGAGAATTCTTCTTTCCCCCAGCCATGTCAAAGAAGAACAATGAACAAATAGAAACGACAATGAATGCAATGATTGCTGGTGGGAGGTCCCTCTGTCTTACGACAGATTACAAGTCATGGTTGGCTTACAATTCTCAATGCCAACTTGGGACAAGCCTTGGATCTTGCCAAAGCTACTCACGCACTCAGTACTCACTTCGATCTTAGTAGGTCCCCCTTTTTAAAAAAGGAAGAAAAGGTTTCAAAAGGCCACATAATCTAAAACAGACAAGGAGTTCCTCCTGAGATCAATGTTTCCAGATGTCCCCCCCTGATCTTAGAACAACAGCAAACAGGTAGGAAACCTTGGCATAAACGACAGTTTCAGCAGGGTTGCAGAATCCATGATTGAAGGATTCGGACCGTGCTGCAAACTTCAAGGGTGTGGAAAAACACGTCATAGAAACACTTGCATCTCCAGATCTATTCTACCCTTGTCATGTGCATCTTGGGAACCAGCCTTCTTTGGGGAAACACGGAAAGAGAACTAAAGAAGCAACAACTTCCAGACAATCCAAAGCAAAGAGGCTGGTCTTCCTGGAGGTAAAACATGAAATGTGCCACATTCGAAGGCTATTTTTTTCTCTCTCTCTCTCTCTCTCTTTCTTTCGCCAGGGCTATGGGCAGGGGTTTGACCCCCTTGCCCGCGCGCTTCAGCGCCCCCGACAGTTGCGGAGGTGAGCATAGGCAACTTGCTATCGACCGGCTCTGAAAGATGCAAAAAGGAACACTCTTCGCTCAGCAACTGCAATTGGTACAGCCACAAACGCAGGATCAAGATGACATCTAGAGCAACATAGAAACAGGACTGTTCTGGCACTAGAGTTGCTGATTCAGGGATATTCCCCGTGCGGGAGGTCCACGGTGATCTGCCGGGTCAATTATATGGTTCGGGTCGCCGTACTGAGGAACGTCAAAGAGTGCCAGGGAAGAAATACAGTCAGTCGGGGACGGGTTAAGGAATGAAAGCGCGACCCCGGGGACGTCTCCCCGTAAAAGCCAAATTTCTGGTTTAGCAAATTTGTCGTACGCTTTGACCTGTCTTCTGGCTTTGTAGCAGAAAGGCACAAAAAGGCCCCGCATACATGGACAGGCAGACAAGTAAGGTGAAATGGATCATTATGACGCCAGGAGTTGTCGGTCGAAAGCTTCACATACGCTGAGCTCGTGGTTGTGGCTAGGTCAGTAAGGGACAAATAAAAGGCCCCTAGAAATATAACCCTACACGAAAAAACACACCAAGACTACTACGAGCTCCGTCTCATTGGGTGCAAGATTAGGTGCATTGTTTTAGCCTGGCAGTTGGTATAAAGCAACAACAGAAATGTCGAACGGAAAACCTAATGCAGTCATCAAGTATGCCAGGGTTGAAATATGCTGTCCTATGTAGCAGTACCAAAAAGGGACGTATGTGTTACTTGGGGCGTCCCCCGAAATAGGGCAAGTACAGCAATGGGTCCCAGCATCACTCAGGGAAGTCACGCGATACACGCCATATGTCAGGAGAGAGCTGGGTACCGCAGTGAGACGCTATTTCCCACAGCTATCACTTTTGCAAAGCAAAAGGGACAAGTATCCGTACGAAACCGGAGGCTGAAGTAGAAATTAGACCCTAGGACCAAAGCTTGTGGGTATCAGCTGTTGGGAGGGGATTTTCCCCTGTTTGCAGTAGCCTCGACCAGTGGTTAGGCCGCAGCTATATATCTCGGTCTCGGTCGACATAAAAGTCAGAGCACACTTGGGGTTCGTCCCCTTTGTGGGCTGATTTTCGGTGCTCCTATTTCGTTTTGGCTCCCATGTTGGCTTGAAAAGGGCAGCAACAAAGCATCACTCGGAACCAAAAACAAACGATGCAGGTAACTAATATGCCAAATGGGGCTTTGGAGAGGTTGTTGGGTTGGAGGCTGTTCGGAAACAGGTGACCTAAGGCTGCTACACTCAAAAACCTCGTTCCCGAGAAAGTCGTCATACTCGACACTGTCAGCTCTCCAGCTACCAACAGAGTGTGCAAAGCTTTACCTGGGTAGCTACAGTCGCAAGTTGTTGGTCCTGGTTGCCGGCTTATGACAGGGGAAGCAACGAGGAACAAACCCCAACAAACGCATGCAGGTAACTACTTCGCCGGTTCAACCAGGGAGGGGCGTGCGAGCGCTCACGGAAGAAACTCAGGTGGGCCGTCAGTTCTTTTTACCATGGTGGTCCGTCATGATCACTTTCGCCTTCTTCTCGGTCCGGAGTTCCGTGAAAAAGGGCGTGCATTCTTCTTCTCCGGTGGGACGACTGCCGTGCTAAAGGTGGTGGCCCACCTCCACTTGCCCTGGCTTCCCTATTGCGGTGAGGGCTCAGAGCTCTGAAAGCCTGTGTCGTAGCATTTGAGGGAGAGCCCGGCTCCTGCATGATCTCTGCCGTGGGGTTTGTCCCCGTATGTTCGCCGATGCCCTCCGCGTTGTCGACGAGCAGGATGGGTTGGCCCCATAGAGCGGAGGTCCACATGAATAAAAGGTGGTGAGCTTGCGATAAAGTCACCGCTGCTTGCTGCTCCAGGAAGGGCATAAGTCCCTCAATAATTTGTTGTGCTTGAAGAACTTGATATGGTGTGGCTTCGTAGGGGTGGTCCCCCTTGGGCCGAGCTCGCGGATGTTCTTCCGGTGGTACACAGTCGGCTGGATCGTTGCCTCGGGAAGCTACACTGGGTCGAGGTAGTACATGGGCTGGTGGACCTTCAGGATGATCGGGTCGTTGAGGTGGAACACGTGGTACTTCTCCCCGTTCTAGATCTTCTCGTTCAGGTAGGCAGCGTCTTTTGTTTGATGTTGTCTCTCCACCGGGGGAACCCCCGACTTGCGGCTGCGCATAGAGGTGGTCCAGGTAGACAGCCGTTCGGTCTCTCTCTCTCTCTCTCTCTCTCTCTCTCTCTCTCTCTCTCTCTCTCTCTCTCTCTCTCTCTCTCTCTCTCTCTCTCTCTCTCTCTCTCTCTTTCCCGGGCGTAGCGGTCGGTTAAGACCCCCGAGCTCCAAGCCCACCCGCATGTTTTGCTATGCGGGGTACGGCGGATGAGGAGCGAGCATAATCCCCCTGTCAGCTAAAGCCATATGTAATTACTCTGAAACGTCAGGTGGTATGTATGCTCTCGAGAATCACAGTCCCAACAACAATAAAGGCATGCAGTGCGAATCATAGCATCAG